CATCCTGATTATTGTCCTTACCAGTGACTAATGAAGAGCTACTAAGAAGTTTTCCCACCTAACTGGCCTAATTTGTCTAAGATGGGGTAGTCAATGTAGTGCCCACATATTTTGCTGAGTTGCAACTCCCATCATGCCTGACCATTGGCCATGTTAGCTGAAGCTGATGGGAATTGCAGAGTACTACTGTGGTTGTCCCTAGTCTAATAGAAAGGGGAGAGACCATCTAGCATAGGCTTCCTCAACCTCGGCCCTCCAGATGTTTTTGGCCTACAACTCTCATGATCCCTAGCTAGCAGGACCAGTGGCCAGGGATGATGGGAATTGTAGTCTCAAAACATCTGGAGGGCTGAGGTTGAGGAAGCCTGATCTATCATGTTGCTATCAGGTGTGATTTAGTCAATCAAAATAGGTCCAGAAAGAACTTTTTTTAGGCTTTATACAAGCCAGCTTTGATTCTTCTAGTTCTTAGTCTTTCTATTTTTCCTCTTGTTATCCCTGTGGGAACAGAGAGCCCATGCATTATTTTAAATAACCATAGATCTCAGAAGCCTTGGATATGCTAACCAAAGCAACCTGCTTCTGAGCTTGAATGATGGACTCCATGGGAAAATCCATGGGAAGTAAGAGAAATAATGTTGTTGCAACTTGTTCCTTAATTTTCAACAGTCTTCTTCCCACTGAGATCTAACTCCAAGAATATCTCCATGACCAGTAAACCAACCTTGTTGCCGATTGTGGTAGATGCCCACTGGGACAGTTAGGGCAGAAGGGAGGGAGATCAACAGCAGGTGTAGCCAACCCAAGGACAGGCAGAGCCAGCTACTTCTAGTTTGTCCCCATCCTCCTCCTCCTCCTCCTCCTCCTCCCTAATGAGTACTACAAGACTGAGACCAGGGAGGAGGAAGCTGGCAGGCAGTGCCAACTCCCAGACCAGTTGTAAGTAAGAAGGCATGCAGGTGGGGGCTGGCTGTGAGAAGATTGAGACTGGTGGGATAGTACCTCATTCTCCCTAGCTTCTACCGGTTGATGCTGGGCTGTACATGTGCTCAAGAAAGAGGGCAGAAGAGAAGCAGCAAGTGAGCTCAGCACTTTGTCACCAAGATACATTGCAAGGCTTCTTTGTGAGGGGTCTCTGTCTCGCCATTCTCCAGATGCTTGGTGTCCTTCCCCTTTCACATTTCTATTACTGGCTGAAGACATTGGGTGTGTGTGCGTCATTCTCTGCTTTAATTAATTTATTATATTAAAGTCCACTTTTCCTTGAAGGTTCTTAAGGCATCGTATGTGGTTTTCAGGTCTCCCATTGCATAATCTGGTAAGATAAGGTTAGTCTGAGAGAGGCTCTGATTCACCTAACTTCACCACACTGGGCTCCACTACTTTTCGGCTCTAGCATCCCCACAACCAGACTTCTTCCTTTCCCTGCATTAAAAGGTAAAAGTAAAGGGACCCCTGACCATTAGGTCCAGTCGTGGCCGACTCTGGGGTTGCGGCACTCATCTCGCTTTACAGGCCGAGGAAGCCAGCGTACAGCTTCCGCGTCATGTGGCCAGCATGACTAAGCCGCTTCTGGCAAACCAGAGCAGCGCACGGAAACGCTGTTTACCTTCCCACCGGAGTGGTACCTATTTATCTACTTGCACTTTGACGTGCTTTCGAACTGCTAGGTTGGCAGAAGCAGGGACCAAGCAACGGGAGCTCACCCCGTCACGGGGATTCGAACCACCGACCCTCTGGTCGGCAAGTCCTAGGCTCTGTGGTTTAACCCACAGCGCCACCCGCTTCCCACTTCCCTGCATTACAATTATCCTGAAGCAGGGAGCACAGATGATGCTGTAGGTGAAATGTGGGTACAGTTTGGCTTTGGACTGCATTACTCATACTTGCACATCTTCTGGCGATTAGGTAAAATAGGTGGCCCTAGGGACCGAGTACCATGTTGCAGCCTTGTCATGTTATCTGGTCTCTATCCCCCTGGCTTAGGGGAAGATTCCTCCTTCCCCACTCTAGCCTAGAATGTGGCTTTGCTGGACTCCTCAGACTTGGAACATACCCCAGATGCAGTTCTCACTGCCTCCACTCCGTAAAAACCCCATAACTGCAGAAACACAGGGAGCTCTTCAGCGAGGTCGGGGTAAACAGCTTGACCAACCTGCCTTCAGACGGCCTCAGCATGCTTCTGTGGCAACAGCTCTCCTTAGGTATGGCCACCGTGATCTGTCCAAGGTCCTGAAAGGCCTGGCCTTGCCTGTTGCGATCCTGCATAACTTTCCAGTTCTGGACATGACCCTGTCCTTTTATTATATGCCACAGCTTCCAACCAGCATACCCTGGGAGCCCTAAGTCAAACTAAGGCAGAAGAAGCCTGGCTTTAACTCTATAGAAGGTGATTCAAACTTTTACAAAAAAATATATTAAATGAATAAATCCTGCCATTTCAAACATTCAAAGAAAGGAAATCAAATCTCTGGCTTTGATATCGGGCTCTCTATAGCCGCCAACACTGTGCAAACAGACCTCTGTCTGTTCCTATGTGGCTGAACTTCAAAAAAAGGAAAGGCTGATCGGAGAGAAGCATCAGTGGTTTCAAGCTGGGTTGCCTTTTAGGCTTCCCACCACTTTATTTGTAAAATAGACTGTGGCCTCAGATCCTATTAAGAGGTCGCTGCTTTTCATCTCTAATTGGCATCGCTGGTCTCCAACCAGACATGTCTTGTATGCGTAACTGTCGGGAAACATAGGACCAGGATTTTTTTGATATATATTTTTTTAATGTCGTAGTGAGATTCAGAGCCTGATTAGACCCAGAAAAAGCAACACCCCAGTTGGACACGGAACAACCAGCATAATAATACAGCAGGGGTGTAATTCTGCACACACACACGTATGCATATGGAAAGCACATTTAATTCAGTGGTAATTTTCTGTTGCTTCTTTAAAGTGGAGCCAGTTGTGACATTTAACACAATCTCTTAGGCTTGCCAAGGCTAAAATGCCCACTGTGTAGATATGTCCATACTGGCCACCTCCTGTTGCAAATTCAATTACTAAGCTGCCCAGACATGCCATGGTGTTTTGCTGTTGCGAAAATGCTGTACTGAATAGGCCAAGGTGTTTGCCCCACCAATTATTTGCATCATTGCAAGGCGTGCTGGGAAGACGCTTCTGGGGTGACACCTGGCTACTATGTGGGCACCTTCCCAAAAATCACTGCCTCCAGGAACAACTCCATCTAGTAGCCATGAGGGCTATGCTCTGCCTCCCTGGCTGGAGGCAGTTGTTGGAAACCATATGGGTGGAAGGGGATGCCCTTGCACTTGGGTTGGCACATGCATGGCCACTTTGAGAACAGGATGCTGGACTTGACGGGGCATTAGCCTGATCCAGCAGCTCTTATTGAGCTGCTGCTCCTCTCAGCTCCTGTGAATTGGCCCCAACACCACTACTGTTCAGTAGCCTTACTTTGGGGCACATTTTAACTTTCCACATCAGAAAAAGTGCAGAGAACAAGGGGGAACAGAACATATCCTTTTATTTGGCTGCCTCTTTTGGTACATCAAGTAGATTTGTCATGCAAACCTTAGGCAAACAACAACATCATAGTGAAAGACAACCACGTACCATGTGGAGGAGTAGGCAGAGCTGGGCATGGTGCCTCCACAGGAACCCAATAAACTTCATGCACAGGATGGGATGGTGAAATGGACGTAAGTGCAATAGCAATGTATCTGCGGACCCTCTTAAGCCAGTCTTCCTTAGCCACGTATTTCTCCAGACATTTTGGACTACAATTCCCATTAGTCCCAGCCAGCATGGCTAATGGTCAACAATGATGGGAGGTGCAGTCCAAAACATCTGGAGATTGTGGAAGGCTGGCTCAAGCTGTCCACTGAGGCCACACCCTGCATGCCATGCAGAGGGAGAGCCATACCCCCAATGTCAATGCCCCCCCATGGTGCTGGGCATCAAGGGAAAGTTGAGGGACTCCAGCTGGTCACTCAAGAGAATCAAGGATGGTTTGGGGTTGGTTTTCTGCAGTTGACATGGCAACAGACAAGGTGTTGAAACAGTTCTTGCAGGGACTCTGCCTTGGCTCCTCTCATCTTTCTTAAACCATGGGGTGGGGGGCACCTGGCATTATTACAGCAACACACACCAGCAGCCAAGGGGGAAAGGCAGCACCAACTCCAGCAGCACAAGGGAGGAGGCATTTCCTCTTCTCTGTTCCCTCTCTCCCCTTCCACTATCCTCTCTGCTTCACTAGCTCATCCACTTCCACCAGGCCTGTCCATGGAAGCAAATGGGAGCTGCAGACTCCCTTGCCATAGTTTCATCCAAGAAGAGGGAGGCTTATTCACCCTGGGGGTGAGGGGTAGATGGGAAACAGAAGTAAACAAGGTCAGAACTACCTTCTTTGGGCAATGGGGTGGGGGGGGACAAAGCCACTCATTCCACCCCCACCCATTAAGCTTTCTGCATCCTTCCCTGCCCTCAGTCTCCCATCTCCAAATGGCCAACAGGGGGAATGCCAGTTGCCCACCCAATGCCCTCTCTCCCCTTTTCCGTAGGTGAGACAGAAGTGGGTTTTCTCTGGTTGTGTTTTAGGTATCTCCTGGGCCAAACCGCATTCACAAGGGAATTTGTCACACTGTGTGTTCTGCCTGGGGTAGTGGAGGCCCTTTTCTTCCCCTTGGGAAAGATGGGTCCTCCTAGAACTCACTCGCTTCCAAGGGGCCAGCTCTGATCTCTTATTGTGCCACTGGGAGAAGGGCATGCGAGGGATGTGGTGGTGGTGGTGGTGACAAGCTGGCCTTCTCCTCTTCTTTTTTGGTGGCTGAAGTTTGTCACAGGACCCGGGAACCTTCTATCCTCCCTGGCACTGGTTTGGGCTCCCTTTTCTCTCTCTTTCTCTCTCTTCTACTTCACTGGGGGAAGGAACTGGCAGATGGAGGGAAGACAGACAATGTGGCTGAGGCCCAAAGGGGTGGGGGCCCTTGTCACTGGGGTGAGGGTGAGTTCAGAGTCGGGTCAGGGGTGCTGCCTTTGGGGCATCGGGGAGGTAAGGCCTTGTAGCTGTAATATTCCACAACCTGCTTGGGCACCTCTGCCAACACACATTTGGCCAGGGCAGTCGGGGAGGCCTGGAAGGAAGAGGAAGGAAAAGGTTAGCTCAAAATGCATCAATGGCCATTAGGAAGGACATGTTGCTGCGTGCTGACACTTTAGGATTAGGAACCTAGGAAACAGCCAGACCATAGCTCAGTGTTGTCTACACAACCAGAGTGGAAAACTGGATTCAACCAGCAGGCAAGATTCCTGATTTTCACCCATTCTGCCCCTCTGGGTGAACTTTAATATGTGAGCAGGACTGCCTACCTGTCAATCACCTGGTGCCACAATGACAACAGGTGACTGACACCTGCCACGGTTCAAAAGAGGTGGCCGCCACCAGCTGCTTGGCAGATACAGCAGTTTCCTTTTAAGATGCACTTCCCGTGTCAATCAGCTGACTGGGTCTGGAGCTTGCCTTCAAAGGTGTGGTTTACAGAGAGCTCCTATGAAGTCCGTTTTGAATCCATACTGCTTCCTCTGCTCCAAACTGCTTCCTCCAGCCGTCTTGGCTGCACTAGGGATTTCCCAGTGGGGAGCTGCCTAGTACAGGCCATCCCAACATAGCCCCCTGCCAGTGCTGATCAGCTGGGAGCCCAGCTAGCAAAGGAATAATTGGGAGGTCACATTAAGCTCCCCATTGTCCATTTGTAGCTGTATCCTCCCCAGACCTGATGCTACATCAGGTGGGGGCAGGTAGATGCAGCTTGTAGTGAATGACTGAACGAACTAAATGGGGACCTATCCTGGGCCCAGTTAGTCTGCACTGACTGGCAGTGGTTCTCCAGGGCTTCAGACATGGGTCCCTCCCAACTCTTTTTGGAGATGACGGGGATTTAACTTGGAACTTTCTGCATGCAAAGCAGGAGCTCTGCCACTGAGTCACAGCCCTCCCCAAAAATCCCTGATGCAGAGACCTCATAGCCTTGCAAGGTCCCCCGCTCCACAGAAGACAAGCCCCTGCTTTGCTGCTTCCCTTCCTCCTCCTGAGCAGAACTGGGAATGTTGCCAGGATGAGGGCATTCTGAGGAAGGGCAAGTTGTCTCCCTCCTCCTTCCCGCAGAGAAGGTCCGCGTCTGCCTCTCTCTCGACTAATAGCGCCTGTCACTTCTCGGCGCTCTTGGCGCCAGGGCCCAGAGGGTTAATCTCGCCTCACAGCTTACTCGGGCTCAGCAACAGACAGCTTGTCTCCCGAGGCCTAAATTACTGACAATCAAGCCCAATTAGGCCTTCGCAATGGCCAAGCGTCTTGTGCCTCCGGCTGCCAGAAATACCCAACTATGGATTTTCCTTTCCGACATGCTGTGGAGTGAGAAAACAGGCAAAGTGAAAGAGAAAACCCCCAGCAGGCCTGTCCTGCCCTGCCCCTATACCACTCAGCCCTCTCCACCCCCTCATGTTTCAGGGCTGGGAGGGTTTCAGGGGAGACACTGCAAGTCACAGTCTATGCTAGTGGCCCAGATCACTCTTCCTGCACCATTGTGCTCTTCAGTTGCAAAATCAGGGGTTGGGGGATCCCTTTTCAGTTCGAGGGCAAAAGCAGGCAGAGCAAGAAATGTTTTTTTTTTTACCTTTGTAGAGAAGGCTAATTTCTTTCTTCTTTTTTACAACCCAATCATATTTATTTATTTTTGATTGGGGGGGGAATGGATAAACCACGTAATAAAAAACTGCGAACTCAGTAAACCCATACCCCTTGTGGGGAGACATTTAAGTCTGTGAAATATAATGGAAATGGAATTAAATAGTTTGCCAAATGTTATTCATTAATTTATCTAAAAAGGGGGTGTCTCCATTCATTGTATCTTATAATTAAGTAGATTTACTGGATACAGTAGATTTCCCCCCCGAAATGGAGATTTTATACTGCAATTTGTGTTATGATACTATAAGTATAATGTGTATATTGTAAATGGATTTAGAACCGGTGTTGTTTATAATTTCTTTTAAAAGTGAGATGTTTCTTTTTTTAAAAAAAACAACCTCTAAGTGGTGTGCATAAAACAATTATTGATAATGCACACATAAACTCAGCAAAATGTTAAAGACAAGTAGGCAGAACTAAATCATATGCCTAGGTAAGCTTCCTGAAATAAAAATCAGTAGACTAGGTGCTACAGACACTCACAAACACCTGCTCTACCCTCCACCCAGGCAACTGAGAGGCATGATCAGAGTTCAAGGACACATTCCAGCCAGGCTGGTACTAAGAGGAGTTAGTGTCAGATGTGTTAAGAAGAGGGTACCCTCCAGCCCTGTGATCCTGTAACTCTGGGTTTAGAATCTGTAAGAGATGCATGCAACACCAGAGAGAAAACGAGTCTGTCCTAACAGAGTGGGAGAAACTAGGGGGAAGATACAAGTGTGTCTGCATTGCAGGGCAACTTACATTCTTGAACTCTCGGAAGGGGACAAACTGCACGATGTCACGCAGGACGGGCTCGCCTTTGGGGGAGCGCAGGATGCCATCATCCCCATCCAAGACCTGCATGTCAGTGAAATCGGCGTTGCCCACACCTACGATGATGATGGACATGGGCAGGTAGGATGCCCGGACGATGGCCTCCCGCGTGTCTCCCATGTCACTCACGACCCCGTCTGTCAGGATCAGCAGGATGAAATATTGCTGCGGAGAGAGAAAGAGAGAGATAGAGAGATGAAAAGATGAGGGGTCAGGGGAAAGGGAACCAGGAGGGCGGCTAGAAGGTCCAGCCCCAAAAGGATCTCCAAGGTTCATTGCGGGAATTTGGACCACAGTTCCTCATACAAGATGCATTTTATTTGAATGCCACTTTTCCAAAGTTAAAACCATGCTCAAGGTGGCTTACAAATTCTAAAATAAATAAATAAATAAATAAAATAAAAATATATAATCACAAAAATAACAATAGTAGTCATGAACAATGAATAAAAAGCACATGCTGAACAATGTCCATAACAAAAAACCCTAAATATTACCCCAGCTCAAGAGTCTGTTCCGCAGCCTCAACTTTTGTAGCTGGAGTCAGTCTTGGCCCCACCCTCCCAGGCCAGGTGGAAAAGGCCTGCAAGGCAGGGAGAAGGTCCCCCAGGACTCATAACCAAGATGGTTTCTGGCCTCTTCCCATAAGCATCCAGCAGGCTGCCCACAACAGAGAGTGCAGCACAAAGACCAAAGAGGAGATGCAGCTTTCAGGGTACCAATAAAAGCCTTGAGGTCACCAGCACAGAGGGTCCCTATGTCCAACGGAAATTGCTGGCCTACAATTCCTCTCATCCTTAGGCATTGGCTCTGGGAGCTGCTGGGAGCTGGAGTCCAACAACAACTGCAGGGGTTCACATCCCCCTGCTTGCTATTCCCTGTCATCACATTCACTGAGCCCACAACAGTTTCTGCTTACCCCCACCCCAAAGAAAGCCCCCTCAGGTTGGCATCCTTCATGCACAGCTCAAACCAAGTTAGGGAAATGCAATTTCCAGCCCCCACCCACCCACCTGAAGCTCAGGCCCGTAACGCCACATTAACTACTGTCACTAATTGATGGGCTCAGCAGCAAAGCTTTCAGACATTTAGCAAGCAAAGAGCTGACATGATCCCTGAAGAATCCAAACTGGCATGTCCCTGGGTCCCAGAGTACTTGGCGTGTGTAAATAATGAAGGAGAATTTAGTTAAAGTCCCTTTAGCCTGTCCAGGGCTTTCGTGCATGCATGCAAATGGCCCAAGCAAACCCTCCAGAATGTGAATCCCCCAGCCCCAGCACTCGGTAGATTTCCATCAAGCAGGGCGGGGTGAGGGGGCAGGGCTATGAAGCATCCAAATTCAAGCTCACACACAAATCCTTGAAATTCTGGGATAAGAGCAGCCTTGCCATCCTAACCATCTCAGAACATAGGACGGTGCCAAGGCAGAGGAAGGACCAGGGAGCTCAGTGTTGTCTGTGCTGACTGACAGCAACTCTCCAGGGTTTCAGGAAGGATACTTTCCCAGCCCTGCCTGGAGATGCCAGGATTGAACATGGTACTTTCTGGATACATAGCAGATGCTCTGCTACCGAGCTATGGTGAGAAAATGCAGGGAACCTAGGAAGCCACTGGTCCACCTAGCTTAGTACTGCTGACCCTTTAACTGGCAGCAGCTCTTCAGGGTCTTGGGCAGGAGACTCTCCCAGCCCTGCCTGGAGATGCCATGGATTGAACCTGGAGCCTTCTGCATACAAAGCAGGCACTCCACAACTGAGCTGCAGCCCCAGGCTTGGTGGCCCACTTACGGAGGCTTCCTTTGTCTTCTCCTCGTCTGCTGCGACTCTGGCTACCTTGGAAATGATTGGCGCCACATTGGTTGGCCCGTAGAGCTGTATCTTGGGCAAGCAGTTTTGATAGGACTCCACCACGCCTTGGATTCCTAGCATGAAGAGGGAAAGGCTGGGGTTAGGGGTGGCCAGAAGCCATTGCCTTCAGTGGAGCACTGTGATAAGGCAATCTCCAGGGTTTCAAGCAGGAACATTTTCCAGTCCCAGCTGGAGATGCTTCAAGGAATTGAACCTGAGATTTTTTGCATGCAAAGCCAAGGCTCTTCCTGCTGAGCTATGGCCCTCTCCTGAAAACAGATCTGGAAGTGCCAATCCAGGTACAAGTACAGTCCTGATGGACTCAGGGGTTGGGGGGGTGATGGACTAAGGCATTATGGGGGTGGTGGAATGAAGACTCCAAAGCAACCCTGGTCAGTTTCTTACCTTCACACTCATCATCATTTGGGTTGAAGTTAATGGCAAAATCATGGGAGATCTGCCCAGGACAGGAAAGACAAACATCAGCATGTATATGAAAGGGATCCACAACACCAGCCCCTCCTTCTTGCACCCTCCTCTGGCACTGATCCCTCCCCATCCTCCCTTATTTCCAACCCTGTCCAGGGGCCTCTTTGCCCTCCCAGCCCCATCATTTCCCAGATGGGCCTTCACTTACTTCGTAGTTGGGTGGAATTCTGGCTCCAAAGCCTAAGGCGGAGAATTTCTTATCACTGCGGAGAAGCAGGGTGCAAGGTCTTAGGGTGTGCACTGGAATGGTTTCCCTGCATTCTTGGTTTGGAACCGTAAACGCATGAAGAGGCGCCCCAAGAAACCAAGGTCACATTCACACTTTAACACCCACACAATATATTTTAAGCAGATGGCTTTCCCCAAGCTATCCTGGGAACTGTACTTTGTTAAGGGTGCTGGGAACTATAGCTCTGTTAGTAGTGGACTACAGTGCCATGATTCATTGGAGGAAGCTGTGTGTGGTGGCTTTAAATGTATGGTGCAGATGTGACCAGTGACCTCTTTGCTGTTCCTCCACCCACCCACTTCTGGAAGATGCTCAGGGACAGCCCAGGACATCCAGCCTCACCATGTGAGAGGTTTTCCCCATCATCCTTCATTATTGTGGTGCAGAGATGATGTTTGTGCACTATTCTCCCTTGTTGCTGGGGATGAAACATTATCAGCCCAAGCAGACACAATGGTTGTTTGTGCAACTGTTCTAGCACTGAGGGTGAAACTGGATGCAACTGTTAAATGCATCTTCATTTAATGTGCATTTTTGTAAATGCACACAATAGCTTCTAGGGGGTGGCGATAATTATCAGAAGTGCAGCAGGTTTGGAAGGAGAGTTTAGCTTGATGAAAATGGCTTTCCCCAGAGCAGCTAGTTGCATTGGGATGGAACCTGGAACTTTTGTTAGAAGTACAGCAGATGTAAAGGTAAAAAAAAGGTAAAGGACTCCCTGGATGGTTAAGTCCAGTGAAAGGTGACTATGGGGTGCAGTGTTCGTCTCGCTTTTCAGGCCGAGGGAGCCGGCATTTGTCCACAGACAGCTTTCTGGGTCATGTGGCCAGCATGACTAAACCGCTTCTGTCACAATGGAACACCGTGACGGAAGTCAGAGCTCATGGAAACGCCATTTACTTTCCCGCCACAGGAGTTCCTATTTATCTACTTGCACTAGTGTACTTTCAAACTGCTAAGTTGGCAGAAGCTGGGACAGAGCACCGTTGCATGGATTCAAACAGCCGACCTTCCGATCAGCAAGCCCAAGAGGCTCAATGATTTAGACAACAGTGCCACACATGTCAGCAGATAAGGAAAGGACTAAACTCCTCTTCTCACCTGTTCAGATCTGAAAAATGATCAGCCCCACCCACCCATCAGCTCTCTGCATTATTTTTAAAAAGTGTGCACATTAAATGCAAAGGGTATAGTCCAAAGGCACTGGAGGCCACCCCCATGTTCCTGAAGCTAAGAAGGTCTGTGTCTGGTCAGTGTCTGGATAGGTGAACACCTGGGAACTATCTGTACACTACCTTAGGTTCCATGATGGATGCAAGGCAGGATACAAAGCAATAAAATAATTAACTGAAGATGCATTTAAGACCACATCTCATTTGGTCCTGACCATGTTCTTCAAGACACAATTGTGTTCATTCCAGGTATACCTGGATGACTCTGGTATACCAAGTACGTTGATGAATATGCTACAGCAGGAGTAGAGAACTGGTGGCTCTCCAGGTGCTGCCAGACTACAACTCCCATCATCCCTGAACCCTGGCCATGCTGTCTGGGGCTGATGGGAGCTGGAGTCCAAAATCCTCCTCCTTCTACAAACAAGCTTGGCTGAAAGAGGAGGCAGACTTGTGAGCTCCAAGCCCCCAGTGTCCTCCCCCCCCCCCAACACATGGATGTTGTGACTGTTCATGCCCTACTCTCTCTGCCCCGCCCCAGCCCAGATGTTCTTAGGCAGGGCTGGTGAGTAAGAGGTAAGGGAGCTCAGGTCTGGTCAGGAAGCAAGAGTAGGAGCCAAGACACATCGGGTCACCTGTCATAGTCTTGGCAAATCTCCCCCACGGCTACCAATGCCTTCAGGTATTCATTGGGCTGGTAGGGGTTGATGTAGTGGAGGGAGCAGCTGTTTCGGGGGTCTCCGTTGGAAGCTGTGAAGTCAATGGCCACCTGGGAAGGCAGAAGAGCAGAGAGGAAATATAACACAGAAGGATCCTCCAATGGTTAGCCAAATTATCCTCTTGGATAACCTCACATCCGCACTTACCTTTTGCCACACGTTTCCTTCCTTTAAAGTTCCATGTCCGAGTGTTGTCCCCCCCCCCCCACTTTCCCCAGGAAAACACGCTATTTAACGCTGAATCGGAACAAACAGCAATTCGTGTTTTCATTTGTGATGGTCTGCCAGGGTGATTGGGGATGGTGGGATTCCAAACTACCCTGAAATGTTACAGATCCTCTAGTTTTGGTTTAAACATGCCAAAGTCCACGGTCCCCACATCAGATCTCAGTGCAGACAGGCAACACACTAAGATGCTTACAAGAGCATTTCCCTGCTTCTTTCTCTCAGTTTCACTCAAACTACAGTCTGTTCTTCTTTTACAACACAGACACCTAGATTAAAACATCCCTTTGCTGCGGGTGGGGAGTTCTGTCTTTTGCGCACACACCCAGAAAATGTTCTAACAATTAGTTCCCATGGAAACAAAATGCCTGCAACAACTGACACGCTTGTGACAAGGCTTTTGTCTAGCCGGGAACTGCCTCAGTGCAACCCGCACAGATCGCCCTTCTCACAGATGCCTGATAGGAAAGTCACAACAATTTGTATTTGCCTTAACAAAGCAGCCGCCTCATTCTCCCACTTGCTCTCCGCTTTCACACCTCTCTCAGCCGAGAAAAGAACAGGCGCTCCAAGTGTGTTTACTGGGTTGAAATAAACCGTTCATGCGGTGATGCAGACGTGCCGTTTGCAGGTTTATGAGAATAGACCCGTCAAAACCAGAAGCGAGTTAGCAGGCGGCAGATAGATCCCAAAGTGGTAGGCTTGAAGGTGGTAGCCTTGACGATGGCCGCCTCCCACTCAACAAGGCAGAACCAGGAAGCTCTGCTAAGATCCTCACTCCATCTCCAGCTGCAGTGCTTAGCAGTTTTACAAGGAGAGTTTGGAGCAACCCTGAAATATCTGGCAAAGCCTCCCCAACGCAGCATGCACACCCGGCCAGCCGATGTTTCTGACTATCAGCTCCGCAGATGACTCCCATTTATTGAGCTTTCATCTTGACTTGTTCGCGCAAAGCTGACACCGAGCTTAGAAAAGATCCAGTCCTTACTGAGCATTCCTTCAGATTTCTTTGCGGGGGAACTTCTAATTTATTTATTTAACACATTTATATCCCATCTTTTTCTCCAAGGAGCTCAGGGTGGTGGATATGGTTCTTCCCCTTCCTCATTTAATCCCCACAACAACCCTGCAAGGTAGGTTAGGCTGAGAGGGAGAGGGGCTGGCCCAAGGTCACCCACTGAGCTTCATGACCGAGCGGGGATTTGAACCCTGGTCTCCCAGGCATAGGCGTAGCCGGGGGGGGGGGCGGGGCGGGACAGCTGCCTCCCATCAAGTAAATAAATAAAAATACTTAACTACCGATTGCATTGCAGATAGCTCAGTCCAACTCCTGCCCCCCTCCCACATAAATCTTGCCTATGCCCATGCTCTCAGGTCCAACACACTATACCAATGAGCTCCCTTCCAATGAGGCATAAAGCATTCATCTTACATTCATCCTGATTTGCCAGCATAGCAGTTAGGCATCTCCCACTGATCATTCATTCATTCCACACTTTTCAAAGCATTTTCCTGTGACTTTCCTAATTGAGAAAAGAGGGTTTCTTTTTCTAAAGTGGATTTGTTGTGTTAGGGTGCTTTAATCCACTGCCCAAACTTAAGCTTCCTCGTAGGCACTTATATTCATCCCACACAGCAGTGAAGCACCCTGTAACTCCCAGAAGCCCCAGACAACACAGCTGTGCTGGCTGGACCTGATGGTAGTCCTTTTCCGAAACATCTTGAGGGCACCAGGTTGGAGAGGGTTGCTATTTTGCCAAGCAATTTGCTGACTATGGATGTGAAAGGGGCCCAGAGCAATGAGCCTTTTCTCTTCCTTGGAAGATGAAGCAAGCTTGTTTTCTGCTGCTCCAGAGGGCGGCACTTGAACCAATGGATTCAAATTACAAGAACGGAGATTCCAACTAAACTTTAGGAAGAACTTACTGATGGCAACAGCTATTAGGCAGTGGAACGGACTGCCTCAGAAGTGGTGGACTCTCCATCATGGGAGGTTTTGAAGCAGAAGTCGGATGGCCATCTGCCAGGGATTCTTTAGCTGAGATTCCTGCATTGCAGGAGGTTGGACTAGATGTCCTTTCCAACTCTACAGTTCTATGATTCCTTCTTCTCCCCTTGCTAAGTAGCTGAATGGATCCATCCCAACCTGATATCTCCTGAAAACTGGCATTTGCCACTAGACTTGGACTCAAAGGGAGGAGTGCCCTCTTGGTGCACTTTCCCACTTTGCCCACCAGGGGCAGCACCAAGCACAGCACAGCTTTGTGCCACCTGCTGCTACCATTCCGTTCTTGCTCTGCTGTTCGCCTCTACGCCGCGGCACCAACAAGCAACAGGCCTTGGCACCTCCAGACATGGCGAGCCTCTAATTCCTGGGATCGTTCCCAGCTCGTATCCCAGCGAGCGGAGAGGCTGAGAGCCAGCAATCTGTTCCTTGAATGTTCTAGGATCTGACTCACTCCAAGAAGGAGAGTTGCTCTTTCAAAACGCAATCTGGGCGCTGGTTGTTTTCAAGGGAGAAAAATCTGTGCGAAGCTGCAGCGAAGGCCTGGCAGCAGGGAATGTGAAAGCCCAAGGAGGAAAAGGAGCTGCTCCCCACACATGCCCACCTGGCAGCTCACCAAGGCCTGGGGGAGGATCACTGAAGAAGCCTCCATTTGCAAAACTGCCTGGCCAAGCCTGTGGTTGATTTGCACGTGACAAGCTGGCCTGCCAAGGCAAGGGCTGTTTGTGCGCACACGTGTGCAGATAGCATACCCTAAGCCTGTATCCTACAACAGTGTTAGCGACAGCAACCAGGGAAGTGACATCCCCATATGGAGGAGAGTTGACAAGCCTAGCTTTTGCTGAGATCGACACTGCCTTTGAGCATATGCAGTGTTTGGAAGGTTTTCTGTATTTCTATTCTATTGCAATGTGTGGAATATGCTTTTGAACCTTAAACCACCATGGCGATCCAGGACAGTGACAGGCTCCCATGGATTTGCTGCATATGAAAAGGCAGGATGTTGCTGCTTCACATATGGAAATATAAAGGGCTCACTGGTGCCCATTTAGACTGGTAGGATGGAAGGCAGGGAGGCCAACAGTAGGTGGAAACAGAGCCAACAACAGGCAGATTCAGAGCCAATGACAGGCAGAGCAAACACATTCTGCTTTTGTTTCCATCTTTCTCCTCCAGGCTGAGCATTGATGCTGGTGCCCATTGGGACTGGTAGGGTAGAAGAGAGGGAGCCCAACAGTAGGTGGCGCCAGAGCAAATGGCAGGCAGAGCCAACTAGCTCTAGTTTTGTCCCCACCCTCCTTCTCCCTGCTGAATTCTACAAGGACAACACTTGTAATTGAGGAGGAGGAAACTGATAGGACTGGTTGGAAGTAAGAAGGCAGGCAGGTGGGGATGGCTGGGCATAGCAGTGCCCCATTTGCCCTAATGGACTGGCCTCCAGTGAAAGACACACACTCATCAGAAGACTTGCCTTAAAAACCCAGACCATCCTTATGATGTTCAGTTGAGGCTAGAATGGGTTCACTGTGCAGCAGGGGAAGGCAAGCGTTGCTACTCACCGTGAAGTGGATCTGGCAACCACCCATGATGTAATCCAGGAAGGAGTAGACCCTGTGAATCTTTCAGACAAAGAGTGTGTTAGCCAATGCCATGGGTGGGCATATCCACCTTCCTCCTGCAGTCTTCCAGGCATGAGGAGGCAGCCATTAAGGCTGCACATCCAGGTCGAAGTTGGCGGGGGGGGGGGGGAATTCAGTGAGGACCTGGCTTTGCTTACAGCTCAGCAACCCACCAGATTCCAGAGGGGAAAGATTTGGAGAAATTCCCAGTTAGAGATGGGCAAATATACTCCATCTTGCTTTCTCTCCATTTCTCATTTTTTTCCAATCTTAAATTCAGTTCTCTGCAATTCCACATCGGTTAGTTTAGTTTTTTTAAAATGTTTTCATCAGCATTTCAGTGTTAATTTCTCCCAGTATATACAACCCTGTATGCAGTTTTGCCAAACGTAAACATTTTTCCAAAGCAATTTCCCCATATGTAATGCATATTTGTATGTTACTTTCATTATCATATGCATTTATATGCATGCTTTATTCTTTTAGATGTACAGTATTTCTGAACACCTTACTTGTTTGGAGAAGTACTTTACAAAATTCTCAGAACTGCGAATTTTGAAGATGACCGTGAATTAGTTTGCTTACTTTTTGGGAAAGTGTAAATGGGGTCAGTTCCCCTTTTAATGCAAACTGAATCAAGTTTCTTCCTCATCCCTACTCTCTGATACTAAACTGACACAGCCAGACTGGGGGAGTGAAGGGGTAGCCAGCAGCAAAAGGCTCAGCACTTCTGCTGGGTTGCAAAGATGTCTTGCTACCCTTCTATCTCTACCCATGTAGATTTCCCCCTCCCCCAGGCACTGTGCAGCCTCTTCTCTCAGAGGAAAACTGTCCCATCCTGTGTACATTTCCCCCACTGCACAACTCACCTTCAAGTCTAAGAGAATGACCACACCCGAGTTCTTGTAGTTTCGCTTCTTCAGCTTGTACTTTGGATTCATACAATCCCACTGGATCTGATTTGGGGAGGAGAAGCAAAGGTGAGTAGGTGTGCCGCCCTTATGAGAGGTCGGGAAATGCAAGCGTTCCCTTCCCATACCAGGTGTCTCCCTTGCAAGCTGCATCAAGACAAGTGGGGGTCTGAGCAAGCGAGATCACGACACCTGGTGCTGGACACATGTTGTGTTCAGCTGGGACCAGGTAAGGTCTGAATGAAAGGGGAACCTGACTGTGTGTATGCCAAGCCTTGGGGCATCCTTCCCAGGGCATGCTCACACTAAGTCCTCTAGAACAAAGAAAGGGAAAGCGGGTGGGAAGGGCTGGTGCCAAGGGATGGCATGGTTAGGCATCTGCCAAGGGTCCCCACCCCAGCAGGGCCCCATGGAAAAGAGCCCTTTGCAGGGAGGAGGGTGGCTCACTGGCAGAGGGGCTCCTTGTGGAGCATGTCTTCCTCAAGGGGCCCCCAAAATGAGAGGGGGAACCCTTGTCCATTACAGGCAGATGTGGGCTGCCCCATGGGCCTCTCTCACACTCCTCTCCACACACCAACCTTGTTGCCCCCCATCGCTTTCTGCATCTCCTCAAAGGTGGTGTAAAATTCTCCGATGAAGTCGTGTTTGCCCCGGGAGTCATAGTCAAATACGACGCACTGAATGCGGAGAGAGAAAAAGAAAGAGAAAGAGAGAGAGAGATGCTTAGTGCGTGGAAAGGGTGAGCAAGCCCCCTTCTGGTGCAAGGCCCAGTGGTGGAATGGTCCAGGGTTGGAGGCAAGGGTCAAAGATCCATTATTATTTCTGCAGCAGGGTCCCAGCAGAGTTCCAGTCTCCAGCATCCTAGAACTGCCCCATCAGCATGAAAGGTGAAATATACTCAGAGTCGCAAAGTGATTTCATGCTCTTTATTCAGCTCATAGTGGTGAGGAGGAATGAATGAAAGTCCCCTCACAGTATCTGCTTTATATACATTATTTACACAATGGGCTGCACATGATTGGCTAATTCCGGAATTCTACTGTAAGCCAATCAGGTTGTGGATTCACTTCTATCTGGAGCATGATTGGGTGGTTCCTGCCAACCAATCATACTGCTGCATTGTTCTAGGACCAATCAGACTGCTGCATTCTGAATCCTATTGTTCTAGGACCAATCAGACTGCTGCATTTTGGATCCTATTGTTCTAGGACCAATCAGACTGCTGCAGTTTGGATCCTATTCAACTCAGTACATAACACCCCTCCCCTCTAAGTTCCAGTCCTGCCCGGGAGGTTGCATTCATAGTCCTCAAGGTATGCCGGTGGCCTACGTGTGCGTTGCGGCCTGGGGTGTTCCCTGGTCCGGGCTCCAGGTTCTGGCTCGTGTTCCAAGGATGCTGGCTGTGATGGAGCTGTTTGGTCTGGCGCAACCGGCTCGCTCAGTCGTGGTTCTGGTTCCGGTGTCCTTTCGGCCTCGCGGGTCCTCTCTGTATTTACTGATTCTGCCTCTCCTGCTGGCCCCTCCTGCTCTATGGGCCTCACTGCCCCGCTGTTCCCTTGGGACTCCTCTGACCTGTCCTCCTCCTGGTTTTCTCCCGGGAATCATCACCATATCTGGTCGCAGTGGCGGCGCCAGCATTGCCCCCCATCCGTTAGCACCTCGTACGACACGGGGCCAGTGACCCTGGTGACTGTGGCGGATACCCATGCTGGGCCTGCCCCAAAATTCTTTGCGTACACTGGGTCCTGGGCCTCGAACGTCCAGGGGTTCCTGCCTTTCCCCACCACTACCTCATCCTGAGCTCTATCGGGGTGAAGGCGGTCCAATCTGATTGCAAGGCGCCGACCCATTAGTAGTTCAGCGGGGCTCCCGCCAGTCGTTGAGCTGGGGGTGCTGTGCTGTGCTAGAAGGATTGTGGCAAGGCGGTACTCCCAATCCCCTTGCGTCATGCGGCGAAGGGTGTCCTTGGTGGTCCGCACCATGCGTTCTGCTTGGCCATTGGTGGCAGGGTGGAACGGCGCCGAACGGATGTGGCGGATGGTGTTCTGCGCTGTGAAGGTTTGGAATTCTCCTGACGTAAATGCAGTCCCGGCCAGCGAAATCCACATGCAGGCATGACCATGGTGCTTGGGCGGACTCCCAGGACTGGACTGGGGCCCTTGGGGGATCTGGGCGGGATTCTTGGCAGGCTTGGCAGTGTTTGACCCAGGCCTCTATCTCTCCGTTGATCCCCGGCCACCCCACATAACTCCTGGCAAGGGCCTTCATTCTTACTACCCCTGGGTGTGTCTCGTGTAGGGCTGTGAGGACCCTTTTGCGGAGGGGCTGGGGAACAACGACCCTGCTTCCCCATAACAGGCACCCCTTGTGGGCCGACAGTTCATGTTTGCGGGTTGTGTAGCCGGCGAATTCTGGCCCGGGGCTGCTGCTGGGCCATACCCTCCACACCCAGTCCAGGACTCGGGAGATGACCCTATCTTTCTTGGAATGGTGTGCAACTTCTTGTGCCTGAATGGGGCGGTCGGGAAGCAGCTCCAGGCTCATAACCTCTTGTGCAGGTGCTGGGTCAAGGCCTGTTTCCGGTAGTGGTAGCCTGCTGAGGGCGTCCGCATGGCCCATCGCCTTCCCAGGTCAGTGAAGCAGTGCATACTGGTAGCTGGCAAGGAAAATTGACCACCTGAGGACGCGAGGAGACAGCACTTGGGGGGTCTGCTTTTCGGGGGCAGTCACCACGGTGGTCAGTCACCACGGTGAAGGGCCGCCTGTACAAGAAATCATGGAATTTTTTTACTCCCTTCACGATTGCCAGACCCTCCTTGTCGATTTGCGAGTAGTTCCGCTCGGTTGCGTTGAGTGTCTGGGAAAAGTACGCCACCGGTACCTCTCTTCCATCCAGGAGTTGGTGCCCCAGGACAGCGCCAATGCCATAGGGTGAGGCGTCGCATGCTAGCACCACCGGCAGCCTCTCGTCGAAGTGTGCCAAGACCGAGTTTGAGACAAGCAAGTCCTTGACTGCCTGGAATGCGGCCTCCTGGCGCTGGCCCCACACCCAAGGGGCCCGCTTGTCCAGGAGTCTGTGTAGGGGCTCCGCTACCGCCGCCTTGTGGGGAAGGAAGGAATGGTAAAGTTCAATAGTCCCAAGAAGGCCTGAAGTTCAGTCTTGCTCTTGAGCGCTGGGGCATCACAAATGGCCCGTACCTTGTCCCCAGTCGGGTGGACCCCTTCTGCGTCCACCATAAATCCCAGAAAGTCCACCTGAGGCACTCCTAGTAGACATTTTTCCTGCTTCACCTTGAGACCCGCCGTCTGGAAACGGTGCAGAACGGTGCGGAGGCGGTCCTCAAACTCCTCTGGTGTGGGCCCGGCAATCAACACATCATCGAAGAAGGGGATGACACCAGGAATCCCTTTAATGAGAGAGTCCATTAGATTCTGGAATATGCCTGGTGCCACGCTGACACCGAATTGCAGCCGCTTTACCCTGAACGCTCCTCTGTGCGTCACAATCGTCTGTGCCTCTGCTGTGGCCTCATCTACTGGCAGCTGTTGCTCTGCTTGGGCCAAGTCCAGCTTGCCAAAAATTTTCGACCCAGCCAGGGTGGCAAGGACATGGCTGACCACTGGCACTGGGTATGCGTGGGCCGTGAGGGCCTTGTTTATGGTACATTTGTAGTCTGCGCAGATGCGGACCGAACCATTAGGCTTGACGGGTGTGACGATTGGGGTTTCCCAGGGGGCATTAGGCACCGGCTCCAGCACTCCTTGCTCCACGAGCCGGTCCAATTCCTCGTCTATACAGGGTTTCAAGGCGAACGGGACCCGGCGGGCCTTGAGCCTGACCGGTCGTACTGCAGGGTCAAGCTGTAGCGCAATGGGGGGGCCCGTATACTGTCCCAATTTCCCATCGAAAACCCCTGGAAATTCCTTGCATATGGCGTTCACGTCCACTTGTAAGCTAGTGTGGTTCACCCAGGTGACGGCTAGCCCCAGTGGTCCAAACTATGCCAATCCCAGTAAGCTAATGTAGGGGCCCTTGACCACAAGCAAGTCCAGTTGCCACGTCCGCCCTCGGTATTGCACCCTGAAGGTCCCCACCCCCATTGTGGGGACCTTATGTTTCTGGAAGTCCCGGAGGGTGAATGGGGCCGGCCTGAGTTTGGGACCCCCAGTAGGACACAGTTTCCTTAAGGTCCTTGCCAAGATTATGGATAGAGTTGAACCCGTGTCAAGCTCCATGCGGCATGGGGCCCCCTCTATCTGTACCTCTACAAAAATTTTCTCTACGTTGGGGTGGGGCAACTGGTATACCTGGAAGTCCATGAGCTCCGTAGAGTTGCCTTGGTGCGTTGGGCCCCGGGACCTGGGGCTCTTGGATTGGTCATCTGATGCCTGGTGTCGGGTGGGCCGAGCCTGACACACCCAGGCGATGTGTCCCGATTTTCTGCACTGCCTGCACTCTGCGTTGCGGAAACGGCAGGTCCTCCTCTTGTGACTCTCCCCGCAGCTTGCGCAGTTCCCTCCTTCTCGTCATGGCAGCTGTGGACTGTGCGCTGCTTGAGTGCGCTGCTGTACTCGGTGCACCTCCTCCCTGTCGGATCCTGAGTCGTCGGTGAGGTCTTCGTGGTGGACCCTCGGTTGGGACGGCAGGCTCGGCCGTGCCTCTTGCGTCGACCTCTCGGCAGCTTCTGTTGCCAGGGCCTCCTCCAGAGCGACCTGCAACGTTACGTCCTTCTTAGCGTAGAGGCGTTGTTGCAGCTTCTCATCCTTCAGGCCACTGACGAGGCGGTCACGAAGCATGTTCTCCAGCTCTGAGAAGTTGCAGAACCGGGCAGCTTGGCGGAGAGACGTCACAAACCCAGTTATGGTTTCCCCAAGGGCTTGCCGCTTTGCGTAGAAGGCATTTCAACGAGCCACCACTGAGGGCTGCAGCGAAAAGTGCCCCTTCAGCTGTTCCATTATTGTTTTGTATGGAACAGTAGCGACGTCTTCAGGCGCAAGGAGAGCCCGGGCGATTTCAAACGTCTCCTCTCCGCAGACGCTGAAGAATATCACCCTCTTCTTGGCGTCTTCTTCGTCGGTGACCCCTTTGGCTTCTAGGAGGAAGGAGAAACGGGCGGCGTACGCTTCCCAGTCTCCAGATGCTGGGTTGAACGGCGAGAAGCTGCTGTCGGCTGCCATTCTGAGCTCCTTGTGTCCCGGAGCTGAAGCCTGGATACACGGTGCGAGGCAGCGGTGCAGCAGGTGGCAGTGCTGTGGTGTTGTGTGTGGCCGTCAGCTCAGCGGGATCCCATCCTCGTCGCCAGTGAAATATACTCAGAGTTGCAAAGTGATTTCATGCTCTTTATTCAGCTCATAGTGGTGAGGAGGAATGAATGAAAGCCCCACACAGTATCTGCTTTATATACATTATTTACACAATGGGCTGCACATGATTGGCTAATTCCGGAATTCTACTGTAAGCCAATCAGGTTGTGGATTCACTTCTATCTGGAGCATGATTGGGTGGTTCCTGCCAACCAATCATACTGCTGCATTGTTCTAGGACCAATCAGACTGCTGCATTCTGAATCCTATTGTTCTAGGACCAATCAGACTGCTGCATTTTGGATCCTATTGGAGGTTGGAGTGGTGATGGTTCTGGATGCTCCAAAGCTAAGCCTTTTGGAACACTGAAACACAAGGTGTTTCCCTTTCAAGAGAAAGTGCATGTTCTGCTATGTACAATGAAACTTCATGGAAACCACAACTAGATATTAGAGCACTCTAGATCATTTGCTCATTTATGTGGACAGAAAATAATAGATCTCTCATATGTGTGTGTGTGTGTGTGTGTATATATATATATATATACAGTGGCATAGCGTGGGGGGTGCAGGGGGGGGCGGCCGCACCGGGCGCAACATCTGGGGGGGTGCGCTCGCACTCGCAGCTCTCTGCCCCTACCTGGCTCACTCACTCTCTCTCACTGCAGTGCTGGCTGTGCGAATCCGATCCGAGCAGCTGGGTCGCCGCCCACTGTGGAGGGGGTGGGTGCCAGGCGTGCGGTGCAGAGAGAGAGCGAGGGACTATCTGGGGGAGGGACAGTGCAGCGGCCGCCCAGTGCAGCGCTGAGCGCAGGAGAGAACCACACCAGACCAGACCAGGCAGCAGCAAGAAGAAGCTGGCAGCGGCGGCAGGTTAGGGGTTAGGGGGCGCAAATTACTTGCCTTGCCCTGGGTGCTGACAACCCACGCTACGCCGCTGTATATATATTTAAAATTTCTGTTTTAAAATTTCAAACAAACATTTTACATACCTTAACAAATCCAATGACGTCCATTCTTCTCTTTCCATGGTTCATTTTGCATATCTTACATCCCTGCATATTTTACAATAACCATTCCAATTGGTTTTCCACTATTACATCCATCTAAAATTATTTACTCTGTTGAATTTATCTTTATGCTGCCAGCATTTTCAACTGTACACAGATATTTTCCATATACTCAAGAAGCGTTTTCCAGCCTTCTTTAAATGTATGTTCTTCTTGCTCTCTTATTCTATATGTTAAATCCGCAAGTTGCGCATATTCCATCAACTTAAATAATAGATCTCGCTGGAAGGCAGCACATGGACATCTGCACTGATCATTGCAATGCATCCCTAATGATTGTTATTTAATAATTAAAAAAATTATTGCTTGTATACTCTTAGAAGGGGGCATGGCAGTAAGGGGGCGTTGCTGTGACTATCATGAAGGGACCCTGCTCTTCTGAATTCACTCCTGCACTACTGGCATGGTCAGCCTCCCTGCTAAGTGTGCTCAGTCACAGGCTCCCCCCGCCTTTACCATTTTGGACTTACCCTCAGCTTCCGCTTCTCTTCACAGCTGCACAGGGAGTTCAGTGAGACTTTAAATGGCTCCCACACAGGACTCAGGTTGTTCTTGACAAACTGCAAAGCACAGGCAGGAGAGGGCTGGTGATTCCTGACAGCAAAGTCTTGCAGAGCGGACTTCTCTTCTCAGGGGGCTGCCTCCATTCTTGACTCCCTTCACCCGGAGGCTCACCTCAGCTAGAGCCTGAGCATCTCCCCAAACTGCCTGAAGACTTCCTGGCTTGGATTGCATCAGAGGTCACATCCATACCATACATTGGAAATGCATGGCATCCTCCCAAATAACCCTAGGAACCGTAGTTTGTTAAGGCTGCTGGGAACTATAGCTCTGTGAAGGGTAAACTACTGTAGTCTCTTTCTACATTTACGTTTCAGGTTTATTTCCCTGTTGCGGCTTTCACCCCTTTAGAATGAACAGTTCTGGTTTTCTCTCTCCTTGTGGTAGTATTATTGTGGTTTTCTTAAGGCTAGTAGTGCTTTTATAGCCTGCTTCTGTGGACATGAGCGCCCCCCACCCCTGTATCTCTCTCTAAGGCCCTTGTGAAATTCCAGTAAATAAACACATGATTCAGGACATTCCAGTTGCCTCTAGTTCATAGAATCATAGAGTTGGAAGAGACCACAAGGGCCATCGAGTCCATCCCCCTGCCAAGCAGGAAACACCATCAGAGCACTCCTGACATATGGTTGTCAAGCCTCTGCTTAAAGACCTCCAAAGAAGGAGACTCCACCACACTCCTTGGCAGCAAATTCCACTGTCGAACAGCTCTTACTGTCAGGAAGTCCTAGTTCCTGAGGAAGGTGTAAAAGAGGTGATCTCACTGCTTGCCCCCAACATTTCTCCAGGATTTTAGAAAGACCAGCTCAAAGATGGATAAAGGAGCAACACACCTGGATCTGAACCCTCATTCTCTATTCTACTCTGGGTTCTCAGTCAGCTGGCCAGGAGTGAACGTATTGGGGAATTACACCTTTTGGTCTCTGCTGTACACTCTTACCTCTGTGCGGTGAACCAGCTGCTCACTCCCATCATCATTGATCCGGTAGATCTCCAAAAAGGGATCTGATTTGCTGAAGAGATCCTGTGGGGAGAGAGGGTTTGAGTCCCATGATCTTGATGCCAGGTCATTTATTATTATTATTGTTGTTGCTGCTGCTGTTATTTCATGGAGGAGAGGGCTATCGAAGGCTACAAGCTGTGATGGCTATGCTCTGCCTCCACAGCCAGAGGCAGTAATGCTTCTGAATATCAGCTGCTGGAAATCACAGGCATCCATGCTTGCAGGTTTCCCACAGGCATCCAGTTGGCCTGATCCAGCAGGGTTCTTCTTATATGCTTAATAAAAATTAATTCGATGTATTAGGTTGTTGGCTCCCCTCCGCCCATGGGTGCGTCAATAAAGAGCCCAGAGCCAGACCTCCCAACAGAATGTGGCTAAAAATGGGAAGGCTCAACCACCATGCTGCTTGCTGTGTGTGTGTGTGTGTGTGTGTGAGAGAGAGAGAGAGAGAGAGAGAGAGAGAGAGAGAGAGAGAGAGAGAGAAGGGGGGGAGAGAGATGGGTCCTTTGTGGCCCCTGTTACCTTGTCATCCAGCTTCTTCGCTCGAAAGAACAGTTCCACAAAACCATTGTCCCCAGAAATCTCTTCAGACGTCACCTGTTGTGGGGCGGAGGTTCAAGAGGGAGGCCAGTCAGAAGCCATTTTATTTATTAACTTTGTATATCACCCTTCACCTGAAGATCTTGGGCAGTTCACAGCATAAAAATACAAAATAAAAACATAAAATACCTAATAAAAACAAGAACAAAACCAAAACAAACCCATAATCCTCACAGTGCCTCAGGTCATGGAGGCCAGAAGGCTGTCATAAAATGTCCGCTTCTGTGACTGAGCTGCTCACCGTAATGGTGGACTTGCCCGCATACTTCCCGTACTTTAGGAACAGAGGCTTGGTCACACGCTTCTGGGCCACAATCTGCAAAGGAGGGCAGAAAGAAAAGATTTGTTTATTTGACCATGTTTTCTGTGCTGCTTGGTTGTAATAAAACTCAAGGTGCTTCGCAACAAATGTTAAAATGAACACGAAAAATCTGTTAAAAGCAATCAATCAAAAACCTTTAAAAGATAATGGAGATGAACAGTAAGTTAAAAAGAAATCAAAACACGTCAACATCTGTGTTGATAGGCTTGCCTCAACAATAATGTTGGTGTTGAAAGCAGTATAGAGAAGGTGCCTGCCTGATGTCAATAGACAGGGAGTTCCAAAGTGTAGGTGCTGCCACACTGAAATTCAACACCACTCCTACTCAGGAGTAGACCCATTGAAGTTAATGGACATGACTTACTTCGGTTCATTAATTTCAATGGGTGGATTTTGAGCAGGACTTAGTTAAATGGGGATGGACTAGATGACACTTGGGAGGCCTTCCAAATCTGAGAGTCTACAAAATTCAATTTTTGTACAAGTGAGGAATGACTATTATACAGCATCTATAACAGATTGAAGTGATAAAGTGGGCACTATGGGGGTCAAACAATCGCGCAAGTATATCCCACAAGACACCTTCCCAGTGACGCTTGCCTTGGCTCACTAGCAAGCGTCACCTCTTTTATCTCTGCTCTGCAGGGGCCCCAGTATACCATTCCTCATGCATTATTACACCCTCCATGTGATGCACTGCTTCATTTGGAAGGAGTGTTGGAGTCTATTGGCATATTGGGGTGCAGGAAGGAGCTTGAGGCAGTCCCACATATAACACGTTTCAGGAACCTAACCTAGAGGTTACCAGAGCATAGACATAGACATGCAGTGCATAGTAATGGAGCTCACTCCCACAGGAGGCTGCGGTGGTCACCAACTTGGATGGTTTTAAAAGAGGATTGGACAAATCCATGGAGGAGAGGGTTATCAATGGCTACTAACCCTGGTGGTTATGCCCTACCTCCCTTGTCAGAGGAGTAATGCTTCTGAATAGCTTCTGGGAATCACAAAGGGGGAGAGTGCTATTGCGCTCACTTTCTGCTTGTGGTCTTCCCACAAACATCTGGTTGGCCACTGTGAGAACAGGATGCTGGACTAGATGGGCCATAGGTCTGATGCAGCAGGCTCTTCTTATGTTTTTTTTTAATGGGAAATGATCTCAACACTGGCTCAGGGACCAAAATGAGTCACACAATGGTTCTGCCTGACAAAAAAGCACAATGAGGGGGAATCCTGCAGCGTGCTGGGCGTGGGGGAGACTCAGCAGGCAGACCCGTGGAAGCTGCTCAGAGCCTCAAGATACTTGCTCATCGGTGCTTTTGTACATGAGCCACACAGCAAAGCCACAGGAGGCTGGCAATGGCTGGCAATTCTCCCATGGCGAGAGAGAGTGGAGAGCTCCATTCCGCATGCTGCTTCTTGCTTTTAAGGGGCAATCGCCATGGACGAGCCACAGCAGGAAAGTGGATGGCAGGTCTTTGCAGAATTCGGAAAGTCCATTTTAAAAAGGGACTCGTTTGAGCTCAGCTTCAGCATATCTAAAAGGGAACTGAATCCAGTTCACATTTGTCCCTTTGCAAAATAGATTAGTTCAGTTCACATTCAATGCACAGCTCAATTCAAGTTCATCCAAGCAATCCTTAGCAATTTTTTGGTCCACATTCATTTGGTTACAAACTGCTGTGCTGACGGATAAAATATATCCTTGGGCTGGTCACTCCCTCTCAGCTCAACCTACCTCACAGGGTTGTTGTGAGGATTAAACAAGGACAGGGAGAACCACATTTACCATCTTGAGCTTCTTAGAGAAGAGGTGGGATATAGATGCAATGCAATGCAATACTGAACTAGGACTGGGCCTTTTTGTTGGCTCCCAGATTGGCCATGCAGCTCTTTCTCTTTCTCTCACTTGGAGCAAAGGAGAGCTGCTCTGTTCTGCTACCACTGTTTGTGCCAACCTCATGTGGCGGCACCTGCCCCTCCTTACCTGGCCCACTGTGCATTCCATGCCGCCCAAGAAGTCGTCATCGTGGGTCCCAATGCTGCTGTGGCCATGAATGTCGTACACCTCAAACCGCAGTTTCTGCACCTCCTCAAAGTAATAGTCAACCATGAAGACCTTGGCAAAGATGGGGTTAAGGTTGCTTCTGATGATCTCTGATCGGTCCACCTGTGGAACGCATGGGAGGAAAAACAGACATTCCAGATGAGTGGAATATCAAGTTCAGGGTTAGTGGAAAGAAAGCTTCGAAATGAGCCGCTCACAGGGCTGGCCATATTCTTAGGCAGAGCGAGGCAACTACCTCTTGCGGCATATCTTGAGGGGCAGGGATTGAACACAGATGGATGTACCATGCAGTCTGTCTGCTGTGCTCAGTGCAAGTAGAGGACCCCATCCTATCACCAGTGTCAAAATAAGATTCAGCTGCCAGGCCAGTTAGATTTTTTCATGGAGTGGGGAGGTGCCATTTTGCCTGAGACAGCAAAATGCCCTGGGCCAGCCAGCCCTGGACATCAGATCCAAGTCCAACCACCTTTGCCACTGACCTACTTGTGGTCTCTGAGAACAAGAGCAGCAAACCTCACAGCGTTGCTGTGAGAGGTAATACAGAACAAAGATTGTAGGCTGTTTTGCAAATTCACAGTGCAATCCTAGGCATGTTGCTTACTCAGAAGTGAGTCCCACTGGTGTACTTTGCAGAGCTGAATGCCAAGTTAAGTGTGCACAGAACTGTAGCCTAAACATAGTGTAGACATTATAAAGAAGGGGAGAGGAGACAGGGTCAGTACACCCGGAGTAATGCCGGTTTCTTGAGCAGGCAAAGCAGGCAGACTGGTGCCATTAACTGCCTGTACCGGGAGGTTGAAACACTTCATGTTGGAGTCACCATTTGGTGTCCCTGAGCCAGAACACAGAGTCTGTGGTGAAGACAGACCCAACTCTGATCACTTCCTCCTTCCCCTATGCCTTGTTGGTGAAATATCACTGAGTCCAGCTCACCAAAGCATTTGTTCTTCTAGTTCATATTAAAACAGAATGCAAAAGGGACAGGGGTATGTATGCATTATTTTTGAGTTCAGAAAGGGCTGTCACACAGTGGTACAGCACATACACCCAGTTTAAACCCCTGGCATCTGTAGTTTTGGCAGAGAAAAACTGCCCTGTCTGAAACTCTGGAGAGCCACTGCTAGCCAATGAAGACGATACTGAGTTAGATGGACCAATGGTCTGACTCAGGACTCATCCTGACTTCCTTCTGTGCCACATTACTAGGCACAGGTGCAGACTTTAGAACTCTGTGTCCAAATGGTGTTTATTATTATTATTTGTCCTGGCAGCTTATCTGGGAAAACCTGCACTTTACTGCTGAACTGAAGCAAATGCCAATCAGTTTTTTCTGTGGATTGCCACTTGTTACGATTGGAAGGCAGCTTCCAATGTTCCTATTGAAATCAGCTCTTATTCAAAATCATGAGAACTGAGGTGAGGCTAGGAAAACTCCATCTGAAACTGTGGAAATCTGCTGCCACTCAGAACAGCTAAGAGTCTTGTGGCACCTTAAAGGTAAAGGTAAAGGGACCCCTGACCATTAGGTCCAGTCATGACCGACTCTGGGGTTGCGGTGCTCATCTCATTTTACTGGCCGAGGGAGCTGGTGTATAGCTTCCGGGTCATGTGGCCAGCATGACTAAGCCGCTTCTGGTGAACCAGAGCAGCACATGGAAATGCCGTTTACCTTCCCGCTGGAGCGGTACCTATTTATCTACTTGCACTTTGATGTGCTTTCGAACTGCTAGGTTGGCAGGAGCAGTGACCGAGCAACAGGAGCTCACCCCGTTGCAGGGATTCAAACCGCCGACCTTCTGATTGGCAAGTCCTAGACTCTGTGGTTTAACCCACAGCACCACCCGTATCCCTTAAGGTCCCGTGGCACCTTAAAGACAAGCAAATACTGAGCTAGATGGACCATCAGCCTGACTCAATAGAATGCAGCTTCCTGTGACTGAAAGTAAACTCAGGGCTTCACCAGCTAAGTGATGAGCTTCACGTTTTTTCTCCAGAGACCTACCTCTAAGTCCCCTGTCTTCTGAAGTTAGGCAGGGGATCGGGGGGCAGTTGTGGTTGTGGCACCCCATGTATGGAAAGTCTTCTGGGGGGGGTGTACCGCCTTGCATCATATACAAATTTGAGGTTTTTCCAGTGCTAGGCAGAGAGTTTTTATGCTTGTCCGGGACTTCCAGCATGTTACTGATGCAGTTTTTGTTTTCCCCCAATTAGTTATTTCTGCTGGATATTATTGCTTTGCTGCTTTCTGCAGATATTAACACTGAGTTTCCTTGTATTTTTTATTTAATCATTTTAAATTATATGCAACCATTTGCTTTAAACAAAATAAAGCTCACATGATGGCTCATATGAGTATGTTGAATAAATAAAAAATAGAAATGAGTAATTAAAAAAACAAAAACACCAAACCAAGAGTTCTTCAGAAGTAACAGCTTTGTAAACACAGACACACATGGACAGTGGACTTTTATAGCCTAAATTAAAAGGCCTTTTTTCCAGTAAGAAGAAAACGAATTCTGGAGCCAATTTTTTTTTTTATAATTAATATGAAATGTCGGAGAAAATGCCACAAATCTGCAGGCCCTGTTCCCTGTATTCTCTACATTAGCAATATCAGTGTCTCTCTCTGTCTCTGTCTCTCTGTCTCTGTCTCTGTCTCTCTCTCTCTCTCTCTCTCTCTCCTGGATTAGCAGTGGAATTATTCTGATGAAGGAAAGGATCTGCGCTTGCGATATTCGTGGTAGGAAGGGAAGGGAAGAGTGAGTGCCTTCTCCTGCCCTTTATCTCCAGCTCCAGAGGGCTGGTTATTTGAGGCTGGTTATTTGCGGCACCCGGATAGCATCACAGCTCCCTCCCTTCCTCTCCTCCTCCTACCTACCTTCTTAAGGGATAGAAGCTGACGCTCTTATGGAAATGGAATAGAATTTTGCCTAAACATTCGGGGAATGGAATCGTTACTGTGGTGAATGCAGATGAGATGCTAATGAGCCATTCCTCAGGCACTGATCCCAGTTTTTGTGGGGAGGCTTTGTGAGGGTGCCAGGTTTTTTTGGGGGGTGGGGAGATTGTCAGGGTGGCTGGCAGCCTCAAGCTGAAGGTACCTGCCCTGCCTCTCCACCAGGGCCAATAGGGCCACTCCAGACTGGTGCTTGTTTTTTTTTGCAGCGTATACTGCAACACTGATGCAACCATAGTTCGCTGGCATTGGGTACAATCTGGACCCATCCACACATCTGTCTGAATGATGAGTTATTCTGTAATAATTCCCCAATGTCGCCACATCATGGCCATCTGGAGTGAAAGTGCTGCAAAAAGCGAGGCAAAAAAATTTAATCCGGAACATTTGGGGTATGGAAAGTTGCCGTATTTCAGCAGAAAGTTATGGGACATGCACCGAATGGAAATGAAGCAGTCCAAAAACTTTTGCAGGTGCAAACAGTATGGAAAGCAGAACCGCGTGAGACCACCCCAATAAATAATAATCAGCACAAATAATCAGGAATGCAAAATAAAAGGGGGCCCTTCCCTTCCTTAGCCCTTCTGCTTACTTGGTCAGGGGCTGTCCCCTTTCTCTCTTGCCTAAAGTAGATCACAGGTCCTCTGTTCCTAGTATGTGAGTAGTGCTCTGTAAACAACAACTCCCCCTAGGCAGTGGTGGATCAGTGGCTGTCCCAGGTTCAGTCGCCAGCATCTCCACATAGGGGTGGGAGAGACCCCTTCATGAAATTGTAGAGAGCTGCTGCTAGTCAGTGTAGTAGATAATACTGAGCTAGATAAACCAAAGGCCTGACTCAGTATCAGGTGTCTTCCTATGAATCTACCCCAGGCAGCCTGAGCTTTCTTTCACTTGCTATCCCTTCACTGCCCCCACCCCAACACACGCAAGCACAGTGATGGCATCAGAATCCACTATAGCTCCATATTCCATCAGGGCTGGCGCCAGCAACTGCAGGACAGCATCCCTTGGGGTGCCAGTGAGGGTGCCAGGGTGACACTGCTTCATAGCAGTTCAGATTGGCATTGACATTCCTCAGGAATGTGGCTTAGCTGGCTTGCACGAGCCATCTGCAGCTTTCCTTCTGCGGGCCACCACTTTCAGTGCCTCTGCTTTCCAGTTCTGGCACACTGCGGCAGTGGAGATGGTGTCAGTTGGTTGCGGCAGGAGCCGATGACAGAGTTGGCCATGCCTTGGAGAAGGAGTCAGGTGAACGGGAGGCGTGCAGGTGTGCTGGGGCCCTATGGAACAGCTCCCACTTCGCTCAGTGAGCTTGTGCAGGAGACGCTCCTGGTGCTGTTTGTCCAAAAGTGATTTCTTTTTTTTGTTCCCAATTCCTCAAGCTGAATTGAAGCCTTTCAGACCACCAGCCTTTTCCTCTGGGGGAGGGAAGAAAGTGCTCTTGCTTGCTTTCCCACCTGAAAGTGGGAACTTTCTTTCTCATCCTGGCAGGGAAGGGAACAAGATTAGCCTGGCACAATGCCTCTCTGCTTTCCATATTGATTACGCAGCAGCAGGGAGGGCCCTTCCATTTGCTTCCCCAAATCCTGATTTCATTTGAGTTTCAATGAGCCAGCCGGAGGGATGCACGCTCCGTGGCAATCGATTCCCCTAAAGCTCCTTCATCTCAGGAAACTTCACCAAAAACCTCCCCCCTAATGAGCAGGGATTTATTAATTTGATGCAATAACTGTCAGCTCTAATCTCCTCCAAACGTACGGCTAAGATCATCCTGGAGCAGCGCTCGCCATCCCTCAAGACGTCCTCTGAGGGTTTAATGCCAAGAGTCAGTGGCCAAACTGGACATGTCAGAGCGGACAGAGCAGCTTCCAAGTCCTGTCCATCATGTATGCTCCAGCTGGAGCTGCTGGCTGGGATTTTCTGTTTAATGGATTGGCTCAGTTCTTCCCACTAAGCGACAGCCGCTTCAAAGCTGCTTGTCCAGTTGCACTGAACAGCAGGGGGCTTTGAGAGAAACAAAAAAATGAGGCTGAGGTTGAGTTTCCTTGAACAGGTTGAGCCTCCCTCAACCTTGGGTTCTCCCAGATGTTTTGGACTACAATACCCACCAGCCTCAACTGGCCAAAACATCAGGAGGGCCCCAGCTTGAAGGAGGCTGTGCTAGTTGCTGGAAATGAGACTTTGGAAAATTATCCCCGTTGTGTTCTGCCTTTAGTGGATTCTGGAGCATGTGTTTATCTGCAGTGGGGCAGGCGTTGCCCTGGCTTGTAGCCTGGAAACAAGAGATCTTTGCAAAGATGCTGTGATGAGCCGTCCATTTTCAGTTGCACAAAGATAGGTGATCTATCCCAGTGGTTCCCAATGAGTAAAGTACTGCCGACCCCTTGTCTTTCAAAAGCTAAGCCATGGATGCCTTACTTTTGAAAATGTTGATGTCTCTGTGATAGTTTTCAATATGTGAATGCTGCCAACCTACCCTCCAACATGCCCCAGCAGAAAACTGGGATGTGTGTCTTCCAGGCTACACTACTGCGCAAGTCACATGATCTGCACGAGAGCATGTTGCCCCAAACCACACATTTTTGGGCATTGCAATCTCATGCGAGGTGTGTACCTGGCCATGATCTTGCATGCTTTTGGGTGCCATCCTCTCATGCAAGAGCACAGCCCCCGAAAACAGGATGTCTCAAGAAAGTTGAGGGATATGTGCCACGGACTCCCTGGGTAGGTTACTCAGACCCCTGGGGTCTGAGTCCCACAAACTGAGAATCCCTGATCTACACTGTAAAGGCAACCTTACACTAACCAGCAACCAGGTAAATGGTTGTTTCCTCTCCCACCCTCAGGGTTGCCCTGGCTGCACAGCAAGCAACAGGTGCCGAGCTGTGGAGTTGGCATTGGTGTCAGCTGCCAATAACCCTTTGTCCACGGAAGCCTGAGCAGCTATCATACGCTCCCAGAGGAAGGCAGAAATTGCTGCTACATTGCTGTACTTCTGTAATGATTTTTAAATAACGACAAAGCACAAAATGGTAACTTTATCAACGTCAGGGCAAAGCGTGCTGTCGGGATGCTGGCCAAAGTGATTTTCCATGGCCGCTAATATGGGCCAAGACGGCTGGGCTCCCTCGAAAATACAAGAGCCCATTTCAGTATTGATTTTCGCCATGCCTTCTAAGTGCAAACAGTGGGTTTGCACTGCCTGCTTCAGACAATAAATTAGCCTCGGCAACAGCCAAGCGGGCTTGTTCCAGGAAGGGAGACTTTCACTATGCTCAGCACCGCTCAGACCTGTCCCTTTCGCAGGGTGATCTTCAGGACGTTTTCCATGCTGTACTGGGCCAAAGATCCACTTAGCCCAGAGCTTTGTTCTCTGGCAGAGGCCAGCCTGATGCCCTTGGGAACAAGACACGAGACCTTTTGCAGAGAGGCAGCAGCTGTGCTGCCCTGTTGCAGCGAAACCAGCCAAGATTCCTGTAGCACCTCAAAGGCAGACACGTTTATTAGGGTATGGACGGTGCATTTCGAACAATATGGATCCAACTGCCCAAAGAAGTGGGTGTGCATAGCTGGCTCATTATCTACTGGATTAGGCTTCAGAATATGCTGCCTTGGATCTCTTGATACGAAAGAACACAAAGCTGCGATCTCAGATGAAAAGCGTCACATACTCTCTGGCTCTGCTATAATTGTCTCTTCGTCGTCACATTTCAAAGTAGCTCTTCCCCAGAATCGAGGCCGAGTCTGGCTTACTGGGCCTCTGCCAGAGAAGGGGATGGCGAAAGTTAGGACTGGACAACTCTCCTCCTCCTCCTCCTAAACAACTTTCAGGCTGGTTTCCCTCCCTCTGAAAGTGGCTCCCTTAATTCAGCCTTTGTTCGGCTCCGTTTCCGCTTCACTGTGGATTTTTCACAATGTGGTAGGCAATTAGAGCCCGCTTTCCAGAGCTCAGCTTGCTAGACCAAATGAAAGAATCATGAGAGGTGTTGCTTGCTGCCAATTAAATTTCTTCTGGAATGACCAGGTGGGTGGGCCACATTTTGCTCAGGGCCTGTCATATATTTGGGATTGAGAAGGGTATTTAACTGAAATAAAAAATAAAAATAAAAATCTAGCTTTTAGGAGGCTTTTCTAGGTTTGGCTCCCCTGCAGTTTGTTGGTGGCTTGGCTCACTTTGGCTTCGCTCGTTCTGAAACGCACTGCTTCTCTGCTGAGGCTGGGGCTGCCCAGGCTGCTTATTGCCTTCTGCCATGCTGGGACAGAGAATGGTTGAGCAGAGGAACATAGGAAGCTGCCTTACTCTGAGTCAGATCAGCAGTCCAGCTGGCTCAGTATTGCCTACCCGTGAGTCAGGGAGCCAAATGCAGCTCTCCAAGCCTCTCTCTCTGGCCCTTGGGACTTGGCTCATGTCATACACCCTCCCTACTTATACCTCCACCAGCCCCTTTTTGCTTTTTGCCTGGATGGAATGTGCCCTTGAACTCTGGTCATTAATCTTGCTTGCCTCTGGCTCCAGCTTCTGCTGGCATGTGGCCCTTAGAAGATTGCCCAGAACTGAGTGGAGCCCTTGGGTTAAAAAGGTTCCTCACCCCTAGCCTACGCTGACTGGAAGCAGCTCTCCAGGATTTCAGGTTTCCTTTACAGCCCTACCTGGAGATGCCAGGAATTGAACCGGGGATCATCTGCATGCAAAGTAAATGCTCTACCACTGAGTTATGTCCCCCCTGCCTCTTTTGGCACAGCTTTGGGCTAGGCATCCCTCTGGCAACTATTCTGAAACTAAGCTTATTTAAAGTAAGCCTTGTAGAACAAAGAGAGGCTGAAGCAGACATCCATGCAAGACCAGAATTAATCTGATTCTGCTAAACCTTAGCTGCTAGGTAGCTCAGACATAAAAAAAGACGTAGCAGAGCTTTCATGCAGCAACTTTGTCAGTCTGGTAAGAAGGTGACGCATGACCCAGAACTTAAAAATGACGGATAATGACACACACTAAAAAAGAGATAATAACGTAGGCCGTGCTGCTGTAAAATTGAGCTGTTTAGAGATACACACACACCAACCTCACAATTAGGCTTCGTGAGGAGTGTGCTCTGTATTAATGCAAATCTTAAGATCTATATTATTCAAGGAGGGCTGGATTGTTTTATTCTTCATGGCAGCTGTCTGGTGCCCTCACCTCAGGATGTCTTGCAGTGTTGCTGTGGGTCTGTGGTCCTTAGGGTTCTTCCTGATGACCTCCTCCTTTATTGAGCATTCATCCTGATTTGCTTGCACAAAGCCTGAGTGCAGCTTAGAACATAGCCAGTCTTTACTGAGCTTTCATTCTTATTTGTTTGCAGGGAAGTTCTATGACAATGAGCCTTCGTCCTGCCTTCATCCTAGCTTGGCCTGCATCCATCCTAGTTTGGTGTTTCTATGTCTTGCCGTTAGCTCTTTGTTCATCCCCCGTGTTTCAATGCATTTCCCAGTCGCTCTTCCAAACCACAGATGTCAGTTTCTTTTTAAAAGCAGATTTGTGGCACCAGGGCAACAGAGCCTTTTCATCTGCTTCAATGGCACAAACATTAAGTTCCAGTATGCACATCACAACTACCTCCCCTTCCTGCAAAATAGTGGCATTTTCGAGGCGCTCTCAGACCATGCAATCCTAGAGTTACCATTCCAGCATTTATGGCGTATTTCTATACCGCTATATCATATCATAAAAGATCTGAGCACTGTACAACACTAAAGCATAAAGAGAGCTAGTGTGGCGAGTGGTTAGAACATTGGACTAGGACCTGGGAGACCAGGGTTCAAATCCCCGCCATTAGGCTTCTTGGGTGAGCTTGGACCAGTCAGTCTCTCAGTCTATTTTTTTTATTTATTTTTTTAAAATAGTATTTATTAAGGTTTTAAGTTTACAAAAAGGCAAAAGAAAAAAGAAAAAACACCAAATTAGACAATAGCAAAACAACACATCACAATAAAAAACAGAAAAATAGAAACAATTAAAAACAAAAACAAAAAAAAACCAAAAAAAACAAATTGAGCCTTCCCATAACTTATCTTTCATTTGCTTGTTTCCCTGACCTCCTCACACCTCCCTTTTTTGTATTCTAAGTCAATTATCCATTTCAGCAAATCCTTTCCCTCTCTTCAAAATTTTTATCCTGAAAATTTATCTTGGTCTTAATATAAGTTTACTTTCCCTCTTTTCACCAATTAACAGTATTTTTCTTAAATCTTTGATACATTTTTGCTAAAATCACATAGATTCATTCCAACATCATTCTAACATTCATTAATTTTACAATGTTTCTGTAAATAGTCTTTAAATTTCTTCCAATCTTCCTCCACTGACTCTTCTCCCTGGTCTCGGATTCTGCCAGTCATTTCCGCCAGTTCCATATAGTCTATCACCTTCATCTGCCATTCTTCCAGAGTGGGTAGATCTTGTGTCTTCCAATACTTTGCAATAAGTATTCTTGCTGCTGTTGTGGCGTACATAAAGAAAGTTCTCTCCTTCTTTGGCACCAATTGGCCGACCATGCCCAGGAGAAAGGCCTCTGGTTTCTTCAGAAAGGTATATTTAAATACCTTTTTCATTTCGTTATAAATCATCTCCCAGAAAGCCTTAATCCTTGGGCATGTCCACCAAAGGTGAAAGAATGTACCTTCCGTCTCTTTACATTTCCAACATTTATTATCGGGCAAGTGATAAATTTTCGCAAGCTTGACTGGTGTCATGTACCACCTGTATATCATTTTCATTATATTCTCTCTTAAGGCATTACATGCCGTGAACTCCATACCTACCTCACAGGGTTGTTGTGAGGATAACATGGAGAGCAGGAGAAGCAACTGTTCCGCCTTGAGCTCTTTGAATGGAAGGTGGGATATAAAGCTAACAACAGCGATCAACGTTAAAAAAAAATACAGATAATTATCAAAGAGACTGAATAAAAAGTAATAGTTAAACTGCTACAAGAGCCTGTCTGCATAAAAAGATCTTCAAGGGATACCTGAGAGTCAAAAGCAATGGCTGCAGAATTTTCAGGGTGACTTAGAAAAATTAATGAATTGCAAACTGATGTGTAAGTGTAGATAACTGAATTTAGAACTGAAAAAAAGGAGAAACGAGAAAATTGACAGATTTCTCCCAGGAAAATGTGTGTAGGCTGTAATCCTATATACACAATTTCCTGGGAGTAAGTCTCATTGAACTCAGTGGTGCTTACACATCTGAGTAGGCATGTCTAGGATTGCATGCTAATTTGCCTTCTTTTGAATTCTCAAAAGTTGGCAAGTACGTTGGTTGACGGCTGCTACAAGCAGGGATTGAGTGGAGGCAGAACAGCTTATTTTCGCTAATTTTTAAGAACTGTCGAACAAACCCAGTTTTTGGCAACCTTCCATTCTTCTGCCCTTGACCAAAACACTTCTCCTGCTGCTCCTTTCTATCAGCCACTGATGTCTCTCCTGACCTTGCGCTGGGGACCCACATCTTAGCAGTTGCCCACTTTTTTTACGAAGGCACCTGTGCCTTTAATAACAGCTTAATCTGGAGAGCAGGAACTGTAGCTCAATGGCAGAACATATGCCTTGCATGCAGGAGGTCCCAGGTTCAATTCCCAGTATCTCTAGGTAGGGCTGGGAGAGATCTCTGCCTGAAACCCTGGAAAGCCACTGCACATCAGTGTAGACAATACTAGGTTAGATGGACCAGTTGTCTTCCTTGGTAAAAGGTAGCTTCATGTGCTCTTGTGCAGATTGTAACAGGAGACGGTGCTGACCTCCATGCCATAAAAGCTTCAGCTGATCCAGCCAACGTTAGTGGCACAGGAGCAGCTGGGGCAATTCTTTTCCTGGTCAGTTGGCAACCTTGATGAAATTCTCTTTGTTGATAGCATGACATCTGCTTGGGACCTAGCTAGGAGGACTGAAGGGTGCACTGTGAGCAACTGTGCTTATCACTGAAGTAAAGTCTGATCCCACAGGAAAAGGGACAGCTGAGGACTGTGTGTGTGCATCCCTGCAGTTGAGCAATCCAGAAAGCTTTAACAGCCCTCATTCATCATGCAAATTGCAAGGGAAGAGGGAATTAGTGGGAAGAATGCTATCGCTGTGCAACACATGAGGGCTTGGCCTGCTTGCTCCCAAGGTTGGCAGGAGGCCTCCTTTGTCATCCAGCAAGCACCCTTCCTGTCTTGAGTAGCCCACTGCCCACTTCCCAATGGGGGGGGAGGAATCACATTCCCGCAGAACTGATTGACACCAGCATCTTTGGCTCTTCCCCACCATCCCATCTTGAGTCAATTGGGCTTGCAGGGCCGGGCCAACCTTGCAGGGTAACCTCCCGCTGCAAATCAAGGCACATTAGAGCACCCAGAGCTAGCCTAGTTATTACTGCACCTGACACCCCAACCTTTTATGATAATGAGACACCCTAAGGAAGGAAGCTCTATACAGTACTGGCATGCATGGACACATGTGGACATGCACAAAAGCATGCACAGGATTGGAAAGATTTCTCTTGTGCAAGCTTTTGGGTATCACAGAACTCTTTACCACACACCGGATGCAAATGGATCCTTTGGGACTGATGTAGCAGCTGTGAGCAACTGAATAGATTTTAATAGGGTTGAATCCCCCAAACATTTCCCCCTTTCCATGTTCATGATGCCATGGAAGTTGCAGGATGTGAGCAGGGTACTACACAAATTAGTAGCAAACAAGAAACCCCTTTTGGAGAGGCAAAAAGGACATGAAAGTTTAAAGAATTCAAGGAGCTCTCAAGTCCCAAACCTCACCTGGATCCTTACTAACCACTGCAAATATAGTAAGCATGCCCTTCGGGAGGGGGAAACTCCCAAAAGGTTTTATGGCACCTTGAAGATGAACAGCAAATTTTCTCATGGATTTTACAGGGTCCACTTCATTAGAAGCATGAAGCATAATCCTCAGTTGCAGAGAGGAGAGAGCACTTAGTTTGTAAAGGGGCAAAGGCTCTAAGTCACGGTGCCAGATGAAAATGAAATTCAAAAGGTGCACATAGTGACAATTCAATTAGAGCCAGAAAGAATGTGAGATGAGCAGAGTGATGCTTTACAACTGCAGAGACAGGCGATAAAACAATCCACTTGGCAATGCTGAGTGAATTAACATCTCTAGTGGGAAAGGAAGGCATGGTCTCCATTCAGACCCAAATGAATAGGGTGGCACTGAAGGGCTACACTTCCTGCATCTGATGATGCAGTCCATTAATGTCTATGCAGTCATAAAAACACATTCCTCTTCAAGGTGCCACAAGACACTTCATTGCAACTGACTTACCACAGCTGCTACCCTTCTGGAAATGACCCTTTAGCTTCTCCCAGCTTTGTGTCCTCAAGATGTTGTTTTGAGTTGTGTGACTTAACTAGACACCACATTTTTCAGCGTCTGGGGCCCCTCCAGGATTAAGGGCTCTGAAGCTTAAACTTCATTCGTTTCACTGTAGATCTGGCCCTGCAGTGAGAACAGGATGCTGGACTTTACCCAGGAGCCAGGCTTGTCTTATGCTCTGTGCTAGCAACCTGCTCTCATGCCCTGGGGTGCCTGGTGGCTCTTGTCATTCCCTCTGCAAGCTGAGCCAGAAGGTCCATCAGCCTGAGCACATCAGCCCACATCCTCTGGAATGGGTAGCCAAAGCGTCTTCTCCAACCCCAGAAGTCCCTGATGGAGAAAAGGGCCTTGGACATTTCAAGGGACTGGCTGTCCATCTCTTCTAGCCCACCTGCCTGCCCTCTATTGCCACTGCCTGCTCAGCGATTCATGCAGAGGATGAAAACCTTCAGTGCCAACATCTAACGAGCATCTGAAGCTACAGGCAATTAACCCTGAAACTGTTACAAAAGAGCCATGTGCCGGGAAGTGAGGAGAGGGAATCAGCCTGAGAGCCGGGAGCAATGAGAAAGCCAGGCGCTCTCCCTCTCCTTTGCAAGTGCACAAAGGAAGGAAAGGAAGATTGCAGGCAGGAAGTGGTTGGCAGCAGGCCCAGGTGAGGGAGTGAGCAGAGAGTGGTTTGCAGGTGTCGTGACCCAGCAGTTGACTGCTGTGACTCCTCAGAAGCCCCCCTCCCGGGGGTCGGCAGCAGGGCAAACCAAACTAACCTCATTCCCCAGGACACTCCAAGAGAGAATAATCACAGGATCAAACCCTTTTATCCTGCAAAAAGTCACCTGCAAATGTATCCCTTTACACAGATTAATCAGGATTATGCAGAGTGAGGTAGCTGCCTCAGGCGGCTGATGGAGCAGGGCAGGTAGCTCAGGGAAGGTGTCAGCTGTGGGTGCCATGCAGCCTGCCCTCTGCACCCTAAGTCCGCTTCCAGGCTGTCAGCATTTTGCAGGAGGAATTCAAGCACATGCTGGAACTGTAGGCTTGTGCATTTAAAGCAGATTAAAGTGCTCTGTTGCCCCTGTGAAACAAATCCGCCTTTTGAAAAGACACCGACTTTTTTGTGGTTAAGAAAAGGGCAGGGAAATGCACTGAGAAGTGTGGGATGGTGAATGAATGATCCGCAGGAAGACGTGTAAACACCATGCAGGGCAAATCAGGGTGAATGCTTATGGTTGTATAACCTCTCCACAAGCCATTTCAGTAAAGACTGAACACAGTCTAACCTCCACATAAGCTTTGTGCTGACAAATCAGGATGAATGCTGAGGAAGCAGACTCTGCAGGAGTCTTAAACCTGCCTGCTGCCCTCAGGTGCAGTATTGGAATAAGATTTAACTGCCAGTTCGATTGGTTTATCTTTTTTTTAAAAAAAAATAATAATATTTATTAGTAGTTTCAGAATTATAAGGGAAAAAAAGAGACATTAAAAAACAACACTATAATACATAAAAAGGAAAAAACACACAAAAAAACAAAAAAACCAATACAACAATACAACAAAAAAATAAAAAGAAAAAGAAAACAACACAGATCCCAATTGCGTATCTAAAACTTCCATTTGCTTGTTTCATTGACTTCCTCACACCTCCCTTTTTGTATTCTAGTTTAATTAGTTATTTCAGCAAATTCTTTCCATCTTTCTCAATTTTTGTTAAAAAATTTACCTAACCTAATTTAACCTAATAATTAGGTCAACAAATCCTTTCCATCTTTCCTGATTGGTTTATCTACTTGGTATGCAGCTTGGGAGTGGTGGGGGATACAGACCACTTTGCCCTTAGCTCAGGCAGGAAAATTCCTCAGAGCTGACCTGGAATTGAAGCCACAAGTAATCATGGTTTAGTTCCAGAACATCTCCTTGTTCAACGTCAGGGCTTACTCCTGAGGTATGTGACTTGATAACGGAGAAGGGTGCCTCAGAGCACATCAAGAGGGCATTGCCTTCACCTCACTGAATAATCTCCACCAACTTTCCATGCTTCTGGGATCAGGGAGCAGAAGTTCAAAATTCTAGGCAGCTTGTCCATCTAACGCAGGTCTGGGGAACTTTTTGCCCTGAAGATTTTGCTGATCAACGGCTCCCATTGTCCCTGGCCATTGGCCATGTTTGCTGGGGGCTGATGGGGTTTATAGTTCAGCAACATCTAGCTTTCCCAAGGCTCCCCACACCAGGTCTCATGCAGTTGCGGTCCTCTGGGCAAGGAGGGACTGCATCTCTTCTAGGAGTTGTAATGAACCTTACCCACTATGTTGTGCAGCCATAGCAGTGACCAGAAAAGGAATGACTACTGAGACGAACACAGACAGAAGAAACGCCTTGGTGCATCTGCAGCAGCACAACCAGACGCCTTCATCGGTCCCAGCTGCAACAAAACATGTCTTTCCCGTATCAGTCTCTACAGCCACAGCAGGTGCTGTAACTCTCCAGCAGTTTGACTTCACCACCAAAGGCGCACCTCTTTATTGTCTCCCAAGGCGGACAGATGTCAACCATAACACTGTTTATTAATTAAATTACTTACATGCTGCATTTTGGGGCATTGCTGTCCCAAGGTGGCTCACATTATCAGAAAAAATAAATAAATAAATACTATCTTTTTAAAAATAATAATCAACGGCAACAGCACTGACAATTACTATAAAAGGCCAGCTTAAAACAGTTACAAAGACTAACAAAAACAGCTAAGCAGAGCTATAATTTTGTAACAGCGCTGCAAAGAAAGCCTTTATGAAAAGGAAGCAGAGAAAAGGCATGGTTTCTAAATCAGTTTAAAAATCCATAGCATAGAGGCCATGCACCCCTCTGTGGGGACAGAGTTCTATTCATTTATAAGATTATTTATCATTATTATTTTAAATTATTGTGAACAGCTGAAGAAATAATTAAGGTCACTATCATCACTAACCACAAATTAGAAATGCAGATTCTTCTATTCCCATTTATCAAAGCACTATGAATGTGCATTCTTCAAGCTTCGCATAGAAAACGTTCCAGATTTTAATAGCATTTATTGGTATCTCCTCTCTCTTTTTAACTGTTTGCTTTTTTATCTCTGGTTTATTACCAGACACATTTAACCTGTAAATAATTAAGCAGATGAGAAGGTGAGTTTGTGATGCAAATGCATTTTGCTTACTGAGTGGCCACAGCCCGTCATCTCCTATTGGAAAGCAAAGGCCAGGGATGCTGTCCAGGGCAAACCTGGGCCTCCCCAGTGCCTTGATCTTAGAAATTAGCCACTGAGGCTGGCAGGGGACCTGGTATCCTCTTCCCAGTTTGACAGTTCACAGCCAGCAGGAACCAGCATCAGTTGAAGCTAAGGGTAAGAATGCCTGGCACACGCTACTCCAGAAGTGCTCCTGCCTTCAGCATCAGTTAAGTGCTTTCAGTAGGGATCCATTTGTATTTAACTCTTACAAAGCACTCAGTAGATTGACAGAGATGCATTAATGCTCACCAAAGATGTGCTTGAGAGTAGCATCTCCAGAAAGACCCTTCCATTGCATTGCTGCATCTCCCAATAGATTCCCTTCTAGGCTGGGAGTTGCCAGAGAATGGGAAGGGGTAAAAAGACATACTGGAGCTGTTCGAGATTCAAGCACCACCACGGCAAGGTAGAACCATCCTCAAATTAACTCCCCTAGCACACAACCTGTGGCATAGGTCTATGCAATGGGTGAGGAGCCCTTTTCAACCCGAGAGCCACATTCCCTTCTGGGTGACCTAGCAAGGGCCGCATGCCAGTGGTGAGTGGGGCCACAGGCAAAAGTAGGCAGAGCAAGAAATGCAGATTTTACTTTTGTACAGGAGGCTCGTTTCTACACCCTCACACATCCTTCTCGGTCCTCCATCCTGGTAAACAAGAGTTGTTATCAGTGTTTATGGGAACACTCCATAACCAGAGAGAAAAAAATCTCTATGACCAAAATAGGGTCAGTGGTGGGTGTGGCCTGGAGAAAGGGGGTGTGGCCTGAAATGGGGTGTGCCCAGGGCCAGAGAGAGGTTTTGCACATTAGGTGTATGCAGTCCAGTCCACCATAGCAAGGTAAGAGCCAACGCAAAACAGGCTGGAGCCAGCCAAGCTCAGAGCTCCAGAGTGAGCCAAGCTGCATTTATGAAGGAAGACAAAATGTCCCTTATACAGCAACATCCCTTGCCACGGGATCATATTCACCCAGTGCTATACCAGCTGCACTGGCTCCCAGTGGAGTACAGAATCAGGTTTGAGGTGCTGGTTTTAACCTTCAAAGCCCTATACAGCCTAGGACCCTCGTACCTACGGGACCGCCTCTCCTGGTATGTCCCACGGAGGACCTTACAGTCTTCAAATAAAAACATCTTGGAGATCCCGGGCCACAGGGAGGTTAGGCTGGCCTCAACCAGAGCCAGGGCTTTTTCGGCTGTGGCCCCAATCTGGTGGAACGCTCTGTCACAAGCGACTAGGGCCCTGCGGGACTTGACATCTTTTCGCAGGGCCTGCAAGACAGAGCTGTTCCACCAGGCCTTTGGCCAAGGCACAGTCTGACCCCCTCCTTCTGTAATCCTCAAAGAACTCTAGCCCAATGGTTGCCATTAATTTCATTCTGAATTGATTGTAGAATGAATTGATTTTAGAATGTATTTCAATTAATTGATTGTGATTTTACGTAAACTGTGCTATTTTTACTGTTGTTAGCTGCTCTGAGCCCAGCTTTGGCTGGGGAGGGCGGGATATAAATAAATTATTATTATTATTATTATTATTATTATTATTACAATCTTTAACCAATCAGTTAGCTTCATTATTATTATTTTTTTAAAATTTACTAAAAAGTGTCCCCCAGTTAACCAGGCTCCTGCTTTAAAATTACACGGACACACACATACACACACAAAATTGTAAAAACTGCAGATGGCAGGTACCCTCTTAAAAGAGGCCCTGCCTTTACTCTCTCATGGAGAAGGGGGAAAACATTGCAAATATAACAGAGGCATCCTTCCTCTAAAAACGTCTTCATTTTGCTTCAGGAATATGGTTTTACCCACATGAAAATATATGCAGTTTTAATTGCTAGATTAATTAACTAAATCTCATAGGATTAACTGAGTAAGATTTCTTTAATCAAGTGACAGCCCTAAGTTACTAATCAGTTGAACTTTATAGTGTGTGGGGAGGGGGAAATAGTCCTTCTTGAGCGCAAATCAGGCAATCTGAGTTCGAACATGATAAAATTTGTCTAATGAATCTCCGCCAAATCAATTGTGCTGGGCCTTGTAAAACCAAGACACCTGGGCAATTAATGCAAGGCTATTGGAAGTGGGGCTATGTCCCACCTCCCCTCTTCCCCAAAGCCAGCCCTTTGTGGCCCTCTGAACCTCCCACACACAAACCCACACTCCTACAAAGTAGCCTACAATTGTTCCCACCAGTGGACAGGAATTCAACCATTACAAGCCTATGTGGTGGCTGAAACACGGCTGCATGGCAAGCACCACACCCTGGGAGCTGCCATTCTGGAAGCAAACAGTGAACCCATCTTTCTGCTCTATAGTTCAAAGGGGCAGGCCAGTTTCCAATTTCCATGATCTCCTCATGAGCCTTGTCCAAGTGAAGCCATCCAGGCAATGAGGATTGCAAAGGTTTGCATCCATCCATTCATTCATTCACTCATTCGTTCAAAAACCCATTCATGTCTCTCCTTCCTAGAAGCTCAGTGAGATCCAGTTCAACAGTTGAAATCATTATTTTGAAAGCCCTGCCCTTCCACTAGCTCAACCCTGGTCCACAAAAGCCAGTCCATCTAGAAAAGGCTTATACTCAGACTTTTACAGGTCCATAAAAGCAGAACCACCATCAAAAACGCTTCTCAGAAATACACCCTTGCACTTCTATATGGGTGGAAATTGGAGGAGGGTGCCCTGAGTCAGTTTCATGACCAGGATGAGCTAAAAGATGATGAGCTATAGCATAGGGCCCTATATACCTCAAATAATGCCTAGAAGAAGAGGTGAGAGAAAGGGGAGGGCCCCTGCAGCAGTGGCACCTTGTGCTTCCAGCACCAGCAGTTGGTTCACTCTGCTCTGCGCCTGCTGAAGATGGTTGCAGGGCAGCAGGTGAAACCAACCTGGTTGCTTAGCAACACCATCCTCCCATCTCTCACCAGCCCGCCTTGCCTCCCCCCCCCCATTCTGACCTTCCGTTCCCCGTGAGCCTATTGCCTACCTCCATCCACTGCCCTTGGGACTGCATGAGGAGCACCACGCAGGGATCCGACTTGTTGAGCGTGTCGCGGTCAAGCAGGTGCTTGCAGCTGACCCGCAGCTCCACCTTGGAGACGCAGGTGGCAGAGACAACGCCCAGGTTGGCCTGGGAGGTTGGGTCCAGTAACTCGTTCATCCTGCTCAGGGAGGAGGGCCCTCGCTCAGCAACAGCTGCAGGTAGCAGAGGCAGCAGAGAAGAGTGGCTCAAGGGCTTGGGTGCCCAGGAACATCCACAGCCAGATCTGGGGTCCGGTGATGATGGGTTAGCTGCAGGGCGGCTTACGGCACAGCCAAGGAGCCTGGCTCACCTTCAGCCCTGAGGCGTCGCCACTTAGCAAAGGACTGCTGAGTTTTGTCTGCAGTGTATGTGGTCAATGCAATCCCAGAAGCTTGAGGAACATAGCCTGAAGGAGGCACTGCCTCTTGTTTGCTTGGCTGCTGCCAAGCAGAGCTAATTAAAGGAGTTTGTCTTCTCCCTACAAATTAACAAGTTGTGTTTTGCTGCCTTCTTCTTCTTCCTCTCACCCGGATGCCAGATCCCACTCAGCTTCCCTTGTTGCTGGCACAGATCTAGCCTGGGTGCGTATGTGCCCAGGCGCCCTCCCTGGAGAGATTGGGGGAGGAGGTGGCCCTATCTTCTGGCCTTTGCTGGTATTCGGGACTTCAGAGAATAACAGGGCAGGTTGGGGAGGAGGACAGGGAGAGAGAGAGACGAGGCTCTTTTTCCAAGTCACCAAGAGCAGAAATAACCTGGCAGTCCCCTGGATTTCTCGATCTTGGGTTGACACAACAGGAGACAGGGCACGTATTTCACAAGGCAGATCTACCAGAGGATACCCTGACGTCTTCTTGTATCTGACTCAAGGCTGGATCTCTAGACACGAGTGGAAACCGCAATCCACAGCAGCACCCGGGTCTTTGTGTGATGCTCACAAACTGGCAGAACGGGTTACCTTGCCATGGGAAATGTGCTGACAAGGCCACTCAAGCAGCTGCCTAAGGGATACATAAAAAACACAGGGTAGGTAAATTGACAAGCCACATCCCAAACATTCAGAAATCAGGAGATATCTAATAATGTAAGAAGAGCTGTGCTGGATTAGACCATCTACGCCTGAATCATGTTTTCATGCGGGTTGGGGATGGCAGCATGATGCTTTGAGGAAGCACACAGGGCATGAAGGCATGGTGGTCCCTAGCTGTTGTTCTCCAACAACTTGTATCCAAAGGTAGACTGCCCTTGAATTTGGATGCTCCGCATAAGCATCATGACTAAGGGCTGAGATTGTGTCGGAGATGGTGAAGTCAATTTACGTGAGCGTTCTGAATCATCACAACTGAGCAGCAAGAGCAGAGTCTCTCTTGCAACCTTTTCAAAATGTGAGGATGCAGTGGAGCTCTGATCCATGTCAGACCAGTCATACCAAACATTAGCTTCACTGACAATTATTATGAAATATTTGCCAAATGGTCTATGACTCCACAGAGGCCTGAAACATGTATCTTCTCATTTGTCTTTGGAGTGCCGCTATGGTAATTGTCAAAAAAGCTGCTACGCCATCTACCTAGTGGAATTGTCCATTTATACGGGAGTTATGAACACAAAAACATAGGAGAAAAAAATCAAAGAAGTAACAGGTTTGGGAATCTCAGTAGATCCTAGAATTCCTCTCCAGAAAGATAGTCATGTTAGTTTTTTGCAGCAAAAGCAACCAGGTGTTTTATCACACCTTAAAGACTCACGAATTTATTGTGGCATAAGCTTTCATGGGCTACAGTCCACTTCAACATACAATCATCTGATGGTAGATTGTAGAGCACAAAAGTTTATATTATAGTAGATTTGTTAGTCTTTAATGTACCACAAGACTCTTTGCTATAACTTTTTTATTAGGGTATCTGGAAGGAATAGGATCAGATTGGGATATCAAATTAAAATATTTCTTATTACTGGCATCAAGAATTTAGGTAGCTCAGCACTGGTAATTATTGAATGACAAATTAGGATATGGTCCTTAGTTAAATGTGTCAGATTCACTTCCCCTAAATGAAAAATGGGGAAGAAATAAGTAAATAATAACAAGGAGTATTTTCAAGAAATAGTTTTCCTTTACTGCACCAAGGTCCTAAACCATTTGGATTGATATTATGCACTATTTTTCTAAACAGATTATTGGATTCAGATTGCTCCTTGCACTTGTGAATTGCTGGGTTCCCAGAGGTATTTGGTTGGATGATGTGAGAACAGGATGTTGGACTAAATGAATCTTTGGCCCAATTCAGCAGAGTTCTTATGCTGGATATAATGGCCAAAGGAAGTTGCAAGGTGTGGTAGATTGATTTGGATGGAATTCAAGATAGATGCTAAACAAAACATTGGATATCTGTTAAGAATTGCGATTGGAAATTTGATCTGTTTCTCTCTGTGTGTGATAAGGGGAGTTAAACCAACCACCACCAACTTGATCTCTGCAGGTGCTTTCCCTACCATCCCTTCCATCCAATGGGGTTGGATGGGCATCAGCTTGTATTTTGCTCATGTGACCTGATAGACCTTGGCTGTAACCAAATCCTTTGGTCTGAGGTAGCAGGACTCTCTGTTGTTCCCCAGCAACAGGTAGCCAAGGTCTCGTGTCTCCATGAGACATATTTGCACAAACTGTTTGTCACGTATGCACACTTTAATTAAGAACAGAAAGTCGTGAGCACCTATCACTGCAATGGTGCACCTAGATTCCAACCCTTCACTATGCATGCTGGCGGTTAGCTGTGTCAGGTGTCTCTGCCTGAGCCATCGCCATCCAGTTGCTCATAGACATTTTGGAACTCTAGGTCATGTCAATTGAGAGCTCCCTCTCTCTCTCTCCCCCCTTCACTGGAGGTTGGTGGAGCAGCAGGATGAACAGGGCGACATCTTTAGAGGCTTTCCCCATAAACTGGAGAAGACAGAAGAGAAGCCTGTTTTCTTCAGAGTCCATCTGGTATTTGGGGTTGAACGGCTCCTGGAGATTTTCTCTAACCCGGGAAGCCCTTTGCAAGCTTGCTGCCGAGGCCCCAAACCAGAACCGGCAGTGCAGTGGACTGTCATTGTGGTATTTGGCACACCAGCGACTTCCTATAGAAAATAGTATTGGGTGTCATGGGAGTAAAATGGGCATCCTTGTGGCTTTTCTTTCTGCCCATTCTGTCAGAGCAGAGCTCAGCACTTTCTCTGGCAACTAATTCCTGGGCTCTGGGAAGTTCCAAATTCTTGACCCTGCACACACACACACACACACACACCCCATGGCAAGTGGAAAGCGCAGCAGGGGGTCCCCCCAAAGGGGAGGAAGTTGGGGGCGTTCCTGTGGCCAAGGACTTACTTAATTGCAAACAGCTGGTGCCTCGGCTTGTCAGTGCCTGGGATTGGCGAGGAGACTTTTTGATGCATGTTTCTCTCCCCCCCCCCCCGCAAAACATACAACCCACATTTGCCAGTGCATGGAGATGCTCAGAAGCATGCAGTCCCATATGCATGCACATGTGGGGGCACACTCATGTGTGTGCATGCTTCACAAGCACCCTCCTCAGTGTAAACGCCGTTGATTATAGATACACACTTCCGTAAACATTCCCACATGCATGGGCAGTTAATAAGCTTGTTAGCTATTTTTGTTATTGTCCAGAAAGAGAAATGCATGTTTTGTGAGATATAAGCATAAAATCAAAGTTACTTAACATGTATAATACAGCAACATTCAGGCTATGAATTACCCTCCTTGCCACCCAAATGGTAAATAAATGTTCATGCAGAAGTGTGTATTTCCTTGCATATGCACCCATTTCCTGGATGTTGCATGTTATTTTCCTCAGAGGTTTTATTCACACACATCCAAGAATGAACACCTTGATGTGCAAACACTGGTGTGCTTCCTTTTGCTCCTTCTAAGCCTATCAGGAAGCCAGTGTAGGTATCTTCTTACCAACACTCTGTCATTCACGCATTATGGTGCAAATACAGTTTTGCTGACACATAAACATTGCTGTCTAAAAAAGTAGTGCAGGGAGTATCCTCCAGGTGTGCATTTACACACACACACACTGCTGCATGCACCCCAAATGCACACACACACACAAAGAATTTCCTGCATGCACACTTCTGTCAGGCTAACACAACTGCTCAGGCACAGAGATGACGCCCATGCTGCCACAAACACACCTGCACAAAGTTTGCGGGCTCTTCCCACGTACCAAAAAGAGAAAAAGGCAGGCATGGGTGTAATGCCACTGTGCTCATGTTCAACGCCACGTCTCTGGAATTTCGGTTCACCCATCCACACGTTTAGCGTTCACGTGTCTCCTTCCGGAGTAGCTAGAGAGCCTCCCTTACCCCGCGCGGATCTGGAGCTCGGCGGTGGGGAGGCTGGCTGGCAGCGTCTGCTGCCCCGCCGCGTCCGGAGCTCGTCCTGCCAAAGTTGCCGGCAAAGGCGCTGACCTCCCTGGCGCTGGCCCGCTGCCCACCCCGGGGCAGCCCACCCGCCGCCTGGCGCCTTGGCTCCCCCACTCACCGGCTTTAGCCACAGCGCGCGTCCCTCTGTCCGCCTGCCAGCAGCGCTCGCTCGCTGCTGCGCCTCTTCTGCCAGCGCCAAGATCCGCGCTCTGCCTGCCTGTGCCCGCTCTCTCCTGCGGAGCTCCGAGAGCCAGACTCGACGACAGCAACAGCGCAGGGATTAACTGCTTCAGCGCCGGCTCTCTTCTCAGTCGCGGGTGGAGTGGGGGGACTGCTCAGTCCTCACAGTGGAAAGATTGGGGCGCTGTCCCACCAACCTGCCCTTAGCCAGCTCCCACCTGCCTGCCTTCTTACTTATCCAATCCAGGGGTGGCACCGCCTGCCAGTTTCCTCCCCCTCTTGAATATCAAGAGCTGCGCTTGTAGAACTTAGCAGGGAGAAGGAGAGAAGGAGGAGGAGGTGGAGGAGGAGGAGGAGGAGGAGGAGGATGGGGGCAAAATTAGGGTGAGTTGCCTGTCATTGGTTTTGGAGCCTCTTGCTGTTTGGGCTCCTTGCCTTCCGCCTTGCCAGCTCCAATGGGCACCAGCCACCTCTAAACGCTCAGGATAGGGGTCTCTGTCTCCGAGGAGGGTTAGGTCCTTTGCCTG